AGTAGGGTGAATACAGTTAACAAGAGACTGTATTTTGCAAAATAGCTAGAATAGAGGACATGAAACGTTCCCAGTGAGAGATAAGGTAGAAAGAAACGAGCTAGGCAGAGAAGGCAGATAGTCCTCAGCAAGAACTTCCCTTCCAACAAAATGCAGCCCAAAAAGTCATTTCCCTTCTAATGAGAAGCAGCTTGCCAGGCACGATGGCTCGTGCCTGTAATCCCAGCAGTTCAGGAGGCTGAGGGGGTTGGATCACAAGGTCAGGAGATGGAGACCAGCTTGAGAACACCACCAGGTGATCTGCCTGCCTTGGCCTCCCAAAGTGCTGGGATTACAGGTGTGAGCCGCCACGCCTGCCCATCATTAAAATCTTGATCCTCATTGTTTTCACGTTGAGTGGGCTGAGGAGGAAGAGGAAAAGACTGATTTTGCTGTCTCAGGGGTGGCAGAAGAGGAAGAAAATCTGTGTATAACCCAGAGTAAACCTGTGCTGTTCGAGGGTCAGCTGTACACAGCAGATACACAAACACACATAATGCAGTTGAAAATTGTTCAGCCATACAAAAAAGAAGTCCTGCCATTTGCAGCAACAGAAATTAACCCTGCATCAGAGGTAGACAAATACCGTGTGAGCTCACGTATATGTGAATTCCACAGAAATCAAACTGTCACTGGAGGGTTGTCCAGGTTCTTGGCGTGTTGAACAAAGAATTGAACGACATAGCTGGGTGTGGTGGCTGACGCTTGTAACCCTAGCATTTTGGGAGGCCAAGGTGGGTGGATCACCCGAGGTTGAGAGTTCAAGACCAGCCTGACCAACATGGAGAAACTCCCCTCTCTACTAAAAGCACAAAATCAGCCGGGCGTGGTGGTGCGTGCCTGTAATCCTAGCTACTCGGGAGGCTCAGGCAAGTTAATGACTTGCACCTGGGAGGTGGAGGTTGCGGTGAGCCGGGATCGCGCCATTGCACTCCAGCCTGGGCAACAAGAGTGAAACTCCGTCTCAAAAAAAAAAAAAAAAAAAAAAAAATTGAACAAAATGCACAAATCAAGTATCAAAAGAAAATGCAAGAAAGGAATGAAGTAAAAAAATTACAGATTAAAAAAATAAGTTTAAGTTCTGAGTGGGGTACACGTGCAGGATGTACAGGTTTGTTACGTAGGTAAACATGCTGCACTTATCAACCCGTCACCTCGGTACTGAGCCCAGCATGCATTCGCTATTTTTCTTTCTTTTTCCCCTGATTTTGTTGCCAGGCTGGAGTTCTCAGCTCACAGAAACCTCCGCCTCCCGGGTTCCAGCCAGTCTCCTGCCTCAGCCTCTCAAGTAGCTGAAATTACAGGCATGCACCACCATGCCCAGCTAATTTTGGTATTTCCTAGTAGAGATGGGGTTTCTGCATGTTAGTCAGGTCCTAAACTCCTGACCTCAGGTGACCCACCCACCTCGGGCTCCTAAAGTGCTGGGATTACAGGCATGAGCCACCGCGCCCGGCCCTGCTTTAGCTATTTTTCCTGATGCTCTCCTTCCCTCCATCCCCAGCCACCCCTGACAGGCCCCACTGTGTGGTTTACCCCTCCCTGTGGCCATGTGTTCTGATCGTTCAGCTCCTACTTACAAGTGAAAACATGAGGTGTTTGGCTTCCTGTTCCTGTGTTAGTTTGCTGAGGATAATGGCTTCCAGCTCCAACCATGTCCCTGTAAAGGATGTGATCTCATTCCTTTTGATGGCTGCATAGTATTCCATGGTGTATATGCACCACATTTTCTATATCCAGTCTATCACTGATGGGCACTTGGGTTAATTCCATGTTTTTGCTATTGTGAATAGAAAAGCACAGATTTATCAAAAACAGTTCAGAGCGAGAGTGGAATTAAGCCAGCAGCTCAAGAGCCTCCCCAATTACGCTTTTTATTAAGCTAGAAAAAACCCTGCAACAGCCCTAGGCGCCCCCTCAGAGGCCTCCAATTGGTTACATGCTATGAGGGATTGGGCTTACGACCAATCAGAGGCCATAGTGGAGACCCGGCCCGCAGTCAGTCAGAGGCTGATGTGGCTTGTTGCCATGGGAGCGAGGATGTGACCTGCACACGTCTGCTGCTCTCCTGCCTGTAGGAAGCGGCTGCACCTGTTGAACCCCGTTCCCTTAATCCCCTATTCTCCTGCCACAAAACCCATGGAAACAAAGCAGAATTAGAACCGTGGCTGCCGGGGGCTGGGAGGAGAGAAAAATGGGGAGATGTCAGTCAACGGGTAGAAACTTACAGTTACAAGATCAGGTCAGCGTGGCATGGTGGCTTACACCTGTGATCTTAGCACTTTTGGAGGCCAAGGTGGGAGGACTGCTTGAGGCCAGGACTTTGAGACCAGCCTGGGAAACACAGTGATGCCATTTCTTTTCTTTTCTTTGTTGAGATGGAGTCTCACTCTGTCGTCCAGGTTGGAGTATGGTGGCACAATCTCGTCTCACTGCAACCTCCGCCTCCTGGGTTCAAGCGATTCTCTGGCCTCAGCCTCCCGAGTAGCTAGGATTACAGGTGCACACCACCATGCCCAGCTAATTTTTTGTATTTTTAGTAGAGACGGGGTTTCAGCATGATAGCCAAACTGGTTTCGAACTCCTAAACTCAAGTCATCTCCTGCCTCGGCCTCCTAAAGTGCTAGGATTACAGGCATGAGCCACCGCATCTGGCCTCTTTTTTTTTTTTTTTTTTTTTTTTTTTTTTTTTTTTTGAGATGGAGTTTGCTTTTGGCATTCAGGCTGGAGTGCAATGGCGCGATCTCAGCTCACTGCAACCACTGCTTCCCAGGTTTAAGTGATTCTTCTGCCTCAGCCTCCCTAGTAGCTGGGATTACAGGCACCCACCACTATGTCCTGCTAATGTTTGTATTTTTAGTAGCGACCATGTGATTATAGGCGTGAGGCACCGTGCCCGGCTGTGAGATCCCATTTCTACAAAAAACAAACAAACAAAAAACTAAAACATTAGCTGGGAGTGATGGCACGTGCCTGTGGTCCTAGCTACTTAAGGAAGCCGAAGTGGGAGGATCGATTAAGCCCAGGAGATTGAGGCTGCAGTGAGCTGTGATTGTGCCACTGCCCTCCAGCCTGGGCAGCAGAGCGAGACCCGTCTCAACAAACAAACAGCAATCAGTTCTGGAAGTCTACTGGCCAGCATGGTGACTGGCTAACAATACTGTATCGCATGCCCGAAATTTGTTAACAGGGTACATCTTAAATGTTTCCAACACACACACAAAAAGAGAACAATGGAGGTGGCCGCTCACGCCTGTAATCCCAGAACTTTGGGAGGCTGAGAAGGGCAGATCACCTGAAGCCAGGAGTTTGAGATTAGCCTGGCCAACACGGTGAAACGGTGTCTGTACTAAAAATACAAAAATTAGCCAGGCATGATGGCACGTGCTTGTAATCCCACTTACTTAAGAGGCTGAGGCAGGAGAATCGCTTGAAACCTGGGAGGTGGAGGCTGCAGTGAGCCGAGATTGTACCACTGCGTTCCAGCCTGGATGACAGAGCGAGACTCCATCTGAGAAAGAGGAGAGAGAGACAGAGAGAGAGAGAACTATGGAGATGAGACAGGCTGACCAGCAGATTTGTAGTAATCATTTGAGAGTGTATACCTATATCAAAACATCATGATATTCATGGCAAATATACTCAATTTTTGTCTTTCAGTTATGCCTCAAAAATCTGGAAAAGGCTGGGTGTGCTGCCTCATGCCTGTAATCTTTGGGAGGCTGAGGCAGGTGGATCGCCTGAGGTCAGGAGTCCGAGACCAGCCTGGCCAACATGGCAAAATCCCATCTCTACAAAAAGATACAAAAATTAGCTGGGTGTGGTGGCAGGCGCCTGTAATCCCAGCTAGTTGGGAGGCTGAGGTAGGAGAATTGCTTCAACCTGGGAGGCGGAGGTTTCAGTGAGCCTGGGAGACAGAGCAAGACTTCTCAAAAAAAAAAAAAAAAAAAAAAAAAAAAAAAAAAAAAATCTGGAAAAGAAACCCCTATAGAGGAGGAAGCAAGTCGGGCAGAAGGAGAAATGAGCTGAGACAGACCAACCGCAGCCTCAGCTGAGTCTTCAGGAGACTTCGGAGGCTGCAGTTGACCGGCAGAGGCCCTCAGCACGGCCAGGACGGTGAGAACTTTATAGCTAGTGGGCTGCCCTGGGAAAAGGTGTGACTCAGGCGAGGGACTCACTGCACAAACGCCTCTGTTGGACACTTTATTTATTTATTTATTTATTTATTTATTTATTTATTTATGAGACAGAGCCTCACTCTGTGATCCAGGCTGGAGTGCAGTGGTGTGATCTTGGCTCACCACAACCTCTGCCTCCGGGTTCAAGTGATTCTCCTGCCCTGGCCTCCTGAGTGGCTGGGGTTACAGGTGCCTGCACCACACCCGGCTAATTTTTTTGTGTTTTTTGTAGAGATGGGGTTTCACCATGTTGGCCAGGATGGCCTCTATCTCCTGACCTCGTGATCCACTGGCCTTGACCTCCCAAATCGTTGGGATTACAGGTGTGAGCTACTGTGCCCGGCCTTATTTATTTATTTTTGAGACAGAGCCTCCCTCTCTCACCCAGGCTGGAGTGCAGTGGTGCAATCTCGGCTCCCTGCAACCTCTGTCTCCTGCGTTCAAGCAATTCTTGTGCCTCAGCCTCTCGAGTAGCTGGGTCTACAGGTGTGCACCACCACACCTGGCTAATTTTTATATTTTTAGTAGAGACAGGGTTTCAGCACGTTGGCCAGGTTGGTCTCAAACTCCTGACCTCATGTGATCCGCTTGCCCTGGCCTCCTGAAGTGTTGGGATTACAGGTGGGTGCCACCGTGCCAGGCCTGGATGCTTTAATGACCTTCCTTTCTGTCCCTCAAGAGCCTTTGAATTAGGCTTATTGGGCACACTTTACTGAGGAGTAAGATGACTTGCTCAACCTCAGGCTCTTTATTTATTATTATTTTTTTTTAATGTTAATGGGAACCACTCAAGAGTTCCTTCTCTCACTCTCCCTCTTCCGAAGGAAGAGAATGGTCCTCAGTGGAGAACGTCAGTTGCAGCAAAGCAACTCCAGGAGCTGGCTTCTTGTTCCGGAGAGCGCCCCATGCCTCCTCTGCCTGGTTTCCTGTGCTTTACGCGTCCAGAGAAGCTTCCGTAGCAATGAACCATAGAAACGGTGCCTCGAAGTGTCATCTTCAGACTCATTCTCTGAATTGAAAGTATAATCTGTGGTTGGGCACGGTGGCTCACGTCCATAATCCCCGCACTTTGGGAGGCAGGGTCAGGCAGATCGCTGGAGCCCAGCAGTTTAAGACCAGCCTGGGAAACATGGTGAAACATTGTCTCTACTAAAAATACAAAAATGAGGCAGGTGTGGAGGTGCACAATTGTAGTCTCAGCTCCTCGGGAGGCTGAGATGGGAGGATCAGTTTGACCCGGCAGGTTGAGGCTGCAGTGAGCTCAGATTGCACCACTAGACTCCGGCCTGGGAGTCAGAGGGAGACCCTGCCTCAGAAAGCATAATTTTCAAACTCAAGCTCTTCGTGGGGGATGGGGCTGAAATCTGAGTCCAGTTCTGGCCGATACCAGTGTGACGCCCACACCCTTGCTGGTGTCCCATTTCCATGGAGAACTCTTCACTTTGGAAGCGTCCCTGACGTCTTTGTCTCCAACAAAAGCCCAGAGTCGGAGCCCCTCGGGGGCTGTCCCTTGCGGATCTTGATTTCTGAGTACTCCGTGGTGCTGGGGGCCTCGTGGTCTGCAGGCTCCCGAGGCCTGAGCCCTTGGAAGCTGAGGGAGGCATAGTGGAGCTCCGGCTCCTCTCCCTCGGTGGGGGGGGCTGCACCTGGGGGCTCGTAGTCTTGGGAGCTGCCTGCTGGGCATTTTTGCTGGTGACCCTGAATGCAGTGGAGAAAGGGGTCGAATTAGGATCAAGGGGGCTGAGAGAGAGCAAGGAGGGTGCACGAGAGGACCTGGAAGCTAAGCGTTTCCTCTTTCACTTACTCCACAAACACTGGCCGGGCCCTCATTCATTCACTCATTCATTCATTCACTCATTCAGCAAATATTTGAGAACAATAATGCCTGGCTCTTGGTAATTCACTGCCAGACTCAAAACCCTCACCACAATCACTGGGGAGACACTATTATCCCCATGATCAGATGGAGAGATGGAGACGGAGTAAATACCCCAAACCCACACATCTAATCAGTGGTCAGGCCAGGATTCCCGTCTAGGTCTCTCTGAGTCCAGTGCCTGCTGCCTTATGGAACAGCTCCCCTGTGCCAGCCCCTGGATATTCTCAGGAGAACTAGGCAGACACCATGCTTGACCTCAGGCAGCTTGCATTGTGGAAGGAGAAGTAGACATTAAAGCTATAGTCGGCTGGGCATGGTGGCTCACACCTGTAATCCAAGCACTTTGGAGGAGACAGGCGGATCACTTGAGGTCAGGAATTCAAGACCAGCCTGACCAACATGGTGAAAACCTGTCTTTAAAAAAAAAAAAAAGCTATAGTCAATCAAGTTACTATCTAATTGCAAATTGTGGATGGATGCCCAGGAAGGAGGAGGTGTGAGAAAGACAGGGATTTGCTGGGACCTGGACTGACCCGAGGGACCTGTGAGGATCTACCCAGACACAGCTGTGAAATTGAGCTAGGAGCCCAGGAAAGAAAGGTCACTGTAGGTAAAGGATTCACCTGCCCAGAGAAAGGTTTGGCCCTTTGTGCCCAGGCGAGGGGTGGGGGGAACCTCTAATTTAGGGCCTTGCAGCATCCTGCTGGTAGGGGCATCCCTGTTCACCCAGGACCACAGGCCACGACACTCGTCTATGCCAGCACTGGGACTTACGGTGAGGCCTACGTGGCATCAGTGTGGCTCTGCAGGGGCTGAAGAACTGAGGTCATCAGCAGGTGCCCTGTGCCTGCATGACCCACCCCCAGCGAACCCGGGACCCAGGCTCAGGGGAGGTTCCTGGGTGGGCGGTACACTGACGCTCCGAGCTTCTGTCACATGCCCTTGCCAGGAGAACTGGGTGCTGTTCCCTCAGCTCCAGTGGGAAAGGACACCCAGAAGCTGCAGGTTTGGTCTCTCCTGGACCTGCCCCCCGCGCCTCTCCCCATCCCTGATTTTCTTTTTCTTTTTTTTTTTTTTTTTTTTTGAGACGGAGTTTCGCTCTTGTTACCCAGGCTGGAGTGCAATGGTGCGATCTCGGCTCACCGCAACCTCCGCCTCCTGGGTTCAGGCAATTCTCCTGCCTCAGCCTCCTGAGTAGCTGGGATTACAGGCACGCGCTACCATGCCCAGCTAATTTTTGTATTTTTAGTAGAGACGGGGTTTCACCATGTTGACCAGGATGGTCTCGATCTCTCGACCTCGTGATCCACCCGCCTCGGCCTCCCAAAGTGCTGGGATTACAGGCTTGAGCCACCACACCCGGCCCTTGATTTTCATCTGTTATTGGTCACTATATAAACTGTCCCCACGAGGATCTCAGCTCTCAGAGAGTCCTAGGAGGCTATCCAACCTCGGAGTGCTCATGAGGACCCCACAACCGCAGTTGCTGTCAGAAGTGAGGATGGGGACCCTGAGATTTGTAGTAGACAATGGTTACTTGGGGAAAGGTCTCTCTGGCATCCTGTGTTGAGGAGAGATAGGAGGGAGGGCGAAGGAGTCGGGGGTCCAGGGGGAAAGGAGGAGCAGGAGGTGGAGGGTCCATTGGAGCTGAGCACAGGTAGGGGGGGACAGGCCTGCGGGCGCCCTTGGCTCTGGGAGGGTATGTGGCAGCAGTGGGGAGAGCCCCTCATGGATCACGGGCTGCATTGATGGGGACCCAGGAGCAAAACCTTATTCGGGGTACGATGATTCTGCGAGTCATCAAGAGGCGTGGCCATGGCCGTCCGGGAAAGGGGAACGGCCAAGGCCCCAGAGGACAGAGGCTGGGCTCTCAACCGGGAGATGGGCCCCAGGGCGGAGGGCGCGTCCTGCTCAGCGGCTGCCATCGGGGCGGCTTCCTTCCTGCAGATCTTCGCCCTGACAGAGGGGGCAGGGCCCTTCAGCCTCCAGGCTGGCCCAGGGCCCGGGGCGAGGGCTGCCCCCACGGCTTAGTGGAGGCTGGAAGGCTGTGGGGCCGGTGGGGTGGGGCCAGGTACACCAGGGGACTTCTTTTTTATTTTGAGATGGAGTCTTGCTCTATCGCCCAGGCTGGAGTGCAGTGGCTCGATCTCTGCTCACTGCAACCTCCACCTCCCACGGGATGACTTCCACCGTGAGATCTGGGGACCCTCAAAGATGGCCCGGATCACCGTTCCGGAGCGGACTCCTGCTCTGATCCTCTCGCCCAAGGTGCACTTCTCACACCCACTGCCCCGCCCAGATTCCTGCAGCGGGGACTATCTGGGATTCTAGAACCCTCCCCCTTCCCACGCCCTGCACCATCAGCCCTCCTAAAGACGACACTCACCTGAAGACGACAAGGCACAAACAGAGAGAGAGCAGGGCAGCGACGCCAGCTCCGAGAGCGGCCCCCAGACCAAGTCCTCTCCTCCACTCCTGATTCCCTGCAGAGGAACGGGGATTGGGGGGATGCCCTCCCAGCCTGAGACCCTCCTGCCCCTCCTCCCACAGACCTAGAGCTCTGGGATTCTCCACTCCCACCTGCCACAGAGCAGGGACTGTGTTCCCATCCCTTCCCGCCACGCCCAGCCCCCCTCCCCACAACTTCATCTCTCTAGGATCCTGTCTCTTTCTCCCTGAGCCTTGGCCCCCCACAGCCCGCTCACCGCGTGGCAGCTTGAGGACGGAGCTGCTTTGGGCCCCGTGGACATTCCAGGCCTCACAGCTGAGCCTAAGGTGGGAGCTGAGGACCCCTTGGAGGCTCAGGGAGCTGTTGGCCCAGGGCCCGGCTGAGCTGGGGGTGACCCGGAAGGAGTCCTGGCTGCTGTTCCCCTCCAGCAGCTCCTCTCCAAGCCACCAGCGCAGAGAGGGGGCCGGGCTGGCCTGGGAGGAGCAGCTGCAGTGCAGACTCTCAGCCTCCCAGGAGCAGGAGGGGCCCAGCAGCTGTGGGGGGTCTGTGGGGAGGGAGGACAGGACTCAGCTGGGACCCCTTCCTGGGACCCAGCTGCCCGCTTTCCCCACTCACAGTGCACGGAGAGGCTGAGAGAGACGTGCTGGGAGCCCAGTGGGTGCTGAGCGTGGCAGGTGAACTCTCCTTCGTGCTCCATTTGAACCCGAGGCAGCTCCAGTACCGAGGGGTCTGAGGGTGGGGAGGGGCTCGGGGTCTGTCCCCGCCGGGTCCAGCTCAGCCTGGCTGGGGGACTGCTGTGGGTGACACAGGCCAGGCGCAGGCTTTGGCCCTCCAGGACCGGGAGGGATGTGCCGTTCCCAAGGTTTTCCAGGACTAGAGAAGGAAGAGGCAGAATCCACGTGGTGCAGCTTGGGGCGCAGGGACCCTCCTGCGTGGGGACCCTCCAGACGCCTGGGCCCCCAGTTTAGCACCGAGAGGCCCTGGCTCCTCTGTCCCCTTTCCTACCTGTCCTGTTTGCTTGGGAAACCGTCACTCTCAGGTTCTCTGGAGGATCTGAAATGGAGACGGGACAGGCTCTAGATGGGCCAGGGGCTTCCCTCTGGGCAAAGGGAACTGTCCTGTGGGGGATAGAAGGGCACAGCAGAATCACCCACTGAGTCCCAGACACAAACTGCATGAGTCTAACAGGTAAGAAGGTCGGTCCCCTAGGCCTGGGGTTCCAGGACCCTCAGCTCTGGAGCCCTGGCTCTGCTTGTCTCAGTCCTTTCTTTGAACCAGCAGCCATAAGCTGGGGTAGACTCTGTCCAGTCCTTTTGGGAGTAGGAGAAAGAGCAGGACAGAGTCACACAGGCCCTCAGGCACCGTCACTGACCTCTGCACTTGGATCCATCCCCTGTGTCCCCACCCGTCCTGCCCTCCCAGATGGACTCCGGGCCCCTGCTGGGCACTCACACTGCACAGAGAGGTCCAGGGCTCGCTGCTGGGAGCCAAGCCTGTTCTCCGCTCGGCAGGTGTAGCGGCCTGAATCCCCGGCCTTCACCCGGGGAAGCTCCAGCCCCAGGGTTCTGGGGCCCCAGGGGTGGGACCAGGAGAGGACTCTGTCCTGCAGCACCCAGCTCAGCGTGGCGGGGGGCTGGCTGTCAGCAGCACAGAGGAGCCTCAGGAACTGGCCTTTCTGGGCTTCCAGATGTGTGAGATTTTCCTGGAGCTTCAGGACTAGAGAGAGAGAGAGAAACAGAGAACCAGAGAAGGGCTAAGGAAGGAGCACATCCCCTCACCTCCACGAAAATGTTTCATTCCAAATAAGAGGACTGGCCCAGCCCCAGTCCGATGGCCCTCGGTACCTGATGTGTTGTCACGGGAAATGCTGATAACAACGTCTCTGGGGGCGTCTGCAACAAGATGGTGAGCTGGCTTCAGGGAGGAACAATTGGTTCCTCACACCAGGAAAAAAGTCCCTCAGGGAAAAGAAAGTGGGACCATCCCAGGAAGACAAGTGACAGCCAGCACCGGGGCTCACGCGTGTGGACAGGACCAGACGCCATTCCCATCCCCTCCCAGGGCTTCCTCTCCCTGGACCCTCCTGAGCTGGGAGCCGCTCACTGCCCCGCTGGGCTCCACCTCCCCACCCCCGGGGTCTGTCTGCAGGCCCCACAGTCCGAGGCCACACTCACAGGCCACGCGGAGTTGGACGGTCCTCTGTATGCTCACACCCGTTCTAGAGAAGTCCACATGGCAGGTGAGGTTGGTGTCGTGGTCCTGGGGTCTGGGCATGAGGCTGAGCACTGAGAAGTGGGGGCTGCTTGGTCTGGTTCTTCTGGAGGAGAGGGCAGCCCCCGTCCAGGAGAAAGAAGGGGCTGGACATTTCTTGAAAGCCCAGTTAAACACACAGATGACCGTCACTGGCCGCCCAGGCTCCAGGGTCTCGGGGATGTAGACATCAGGCTTCTGAGTCAGGGCTGGGACAGAGACAGGGTAGCGGTGCTAGTGCTGCAGGGCTCAGCCCATGCCCAGGGTCCCTCCCCAGTGTGAGAGGCAGGAGTTCCCACCCCATTCCATACCTGTTACCTTTAGATGGAACACGTTCAGGAAACTGAATTTCACAGAGCTTCCTCTCTCCACCCGAAACGAGTACATTCCCATGTCCTGCAACTGCGCGTCTCTGATCACCAAGGAGCAGCTCCCCTTGCCGGGGTCCCCCATGAGCTGGAATCGGTCCCGCGTGCTCATGCCCACCTCTCGATTCCGGTTGTTTGTGGCCACAGGAGCAAGGGTGCGTGTGTTGGTCGTTACTTTGAACCAGTAGCCATGAGCGGCAGTAGACTCATTCCAGCCACGTCGGGGGTAGGAGAGGTTGCAAGGCACGAAGACACACAGGCCCTCCTGCACCGTCACCAGCCTCTGCACCTGAAGACTGTAACTGGAACCCTCGTTCAGGAACCCTGGGGAGAGGCAGCGGCTCAGCGGCAGCCCCAGCCCCTGCAAAGGAACCCCAGCTGCCGACCCCACTCACCCTCCCCGAGCATGGGCAGCAGCAGGGACAGCAGCAGCATCTCTGGACTCTCGGGCTGGGCCTGTCCCGGGATCATCTGGCTTCTGGGCCGGCCTGGCTCGGAAGGAAACTCCTCCAGCAGGAAGCCTGGCGGAGGGGCAGTGACCATCGGCAGAGGAGGAGCCTGGGGAAGCGCAAGGTCCTGAAAGATCCCCTCCTGACTTCTCCTTTCTCAGGGAAAGCAGCAGGGCAGAGGGCATGAGGATCTGCCCCAAACCAGGAAGGAGCCACCCTGGGCAGCCTTGGAGGTGGGCAGTGCTAGGAGGGGACTGTCAGGGGACACAGGTGAGTTATGGCTGCAGGTGAGGTGATGAATGCAGTCCCATTCATTCATTCATTCTCCAGTGGGCCATGGGACACTGGAAGAGTCGGTGAGGACGCTGATTTATGGTGGGGACTTTGTAGCATGTATTATTGCTCTACCTCCACAGAGGGTAAAAACTAGGTCAGCCATACAGGCAATTGATCACATCCATGTGACCAACGCCCAGTAAAAACGCTGAACAGCAAGGCTCTGGCAAGCTTGCCTGGGTGGCAATACTTGGTGTATGTTGTCATTCATCCTTGCTGCAAGCATTAAGCATTTTCTGTATGACTTCACTGGGAAAGGTCACCTGGAACTCCACACGTGGTCTCTTCTGGATCCTGCCCTATGAACCTTTTTCTTTTGTTGATTTTTATTTATTTATTTGAGACAGAGTAACACTCTTGTCACCCGGGCTGGAGTGCAATGGCGCAATGTCAGCTAACTGCGTCCGGCCATCTCCGGTGTTATTTCTTTTTCTTTTTTTTTTTTTTTTTTGAGACGGAGTTTTGCTCTTGTTACCCAGGCTGGAGTGCAATGGCGCGATCTCGGCTCACCGCAACCTCCGCCTCCTGGGTTCAAGCGATTCTCCTGCCTCAGCCTCCTGAGTAGCTGGGATTACAGGCACGCGCCACCATGCCCAGCTAATTTTTTGTATTTTTAGTAGAGACGGGGTTTCACCATGTTGACCAGGATGGTCTCGATCTCTCGACCTTGTGATCCACCCGCCTCGGCCTCCCAAAGTGCTGGGATTACAAGCTTGAGCCACCGCGCCCGGCCTCCGGTGTTATTTCTAATTGACTTCATTTGAATCTTCTTTTCCTGGTTAATCTAGCTAATGGTCTATCAATTTTGTTTCTATTTTCCAAGAACCAACCTTCTGTTTCATTGATTTCTGTATTTTTTGTTTCAGTTTCATTTAGTTCTGCTCTGATTTTTGTTACGTCTCTTCTTTTGCTAGCTTTGGGTTTAGTTTGTTCTTGTTTCTCTAGTTCCTTGAGATGTGACATTAGGTTGTCAATTCATGATCTTTCAGGCTCTTTTTTTTTTTTTTTTTTTTTTTTGAGATGGAGTCTTGCTCTGTTACCCAGGCCGGAGTGTAGTGGTGTGATCTTGGCTCACTGCAACCTCTGCTTCCTGGGTTCAAGTGATTCTCCTGCCTCAGCCTCCCAAGTAGCTGGGATTACAGGTACCTGCCACCATGCCAGGGTAATCTTTGTATTTTTAGTACAGACGGGGTTTCGCCATGTTGGCCAGGCTGGTCTCCAACTCCTGACCTCAGGTAATCCACCCTCCTCGGCCTCCCAAAGTGCTAGGATTACAGGTGTGAGCCACTGTGCCTGGCTTCAGACATTTTGATACAGGCATTGAGTGCTACAGTTTCCTGTTAGCACTGCTTTTGCTGTATTCCAGATGTTTTGATAATTTGTATCACTATTAGTTTATTTCAAAGAATTTTTAAATTTCCATCTCGATTTCATTGTTAACCCCCAAATCATTCAGGGGCAGATTGTTTAATTTCCACGATTTATATAGTTTTGAGGGTCCCTTTTTTTTTTTTTTTTTTTTTTTTTGAGACGGAGTTTCGCTCTTGTTACCCAGGCTGGAGTGCAATGGCGCGATCTCGCCTCACCGCAACCTCCGCCTCCTGGGTTCAGGCAATTCTCCTGCCTCAGCCTCCTGAGTAGCTGGGATTACAGGCACGTGCCACCATGCCCAGCTAATTTTTTGTATTTTTTAGTAGAGACAGAGTTTCACCATGTTGACCAGGATGGTCTCGATCTCTTGACCTCATGATCCGCCCACCTCGGCCTCCCAAAGTGCTGGGATTACAGGCATGAGCCACCGCGCCCGGCCCTTTCCCCAGTATTTTATTCACTGGGTTGAATAGTTAAGGCTTCAGGTCAGTAGGGGAGGGTCCCTGGGTAGAAAAGAGCTGTGGCTGAAGCAGTGGATGAAGTCAGTACCCAATGGCAAGCCGAGGCCCCAGCCTTGACAGAGGTGACCTGGGAAGCTCTTAGCGAGCACTGCAGTTTGTTTTTGCTTTTGTTTTTGACAGGATTTCAATCTATCTCCCAGGCTGGATGGAGCACAGGGGTGTGGTCACAGATCGCCACGGCCTTGACTTCCCTGGCTCAGGTGCTCCTCTTGCTTCAGCCTCCCAAGTAGCTGGGATCACTGGCACATGCCACTGCGCCTGGGTAATTTTTGTTTTCTGTAGAGTTGGGGTTCCCCTTTGTTGCTCAGGCTAGTCTCCAACTCCTGGCCTCAAGTGATTCTCCAACCTTGGCCTCTCAAAATGCTGAGATGACAGCCACAGGCCACCACGCCTGGCCATTTCCTTCCTTGTACTAATTTTGCCTTTTCTCCTTCCTTGTTCCTTGGGGTGCACTGCTTTTTGTTTGTTTTGAGATGGAGTCTCGCTCTGTTGCCCAGGCTAGAGGGCAGAGGCACGGTTTCGGCACACTGCAACCTCTACCTCCCAGGTTCAAGCAATTCTCCTGCCTCAGCCTCCTGAGCAGCTGGGATTACAGGCTTGTGCCACCATGCCTGGCTAATTTTTGTATTTTTAGTAGAGACGGGGTTTCACCATATTGGCCAGGCTGGTCTCAAAGCCCTGACCTCAGGTGATCTGCCCACCTTGGGCTCCCACCTCAGGTGGTCCGCCTGCCTGCTAGAGTTACAGGGCTGAGCCAGCATGCCCCTCCAGAGGTGCATTGTTATACGGTATATTTGAATTCTTTCTATTTTTTTCAAGTAGACATTTGTTGTTACAAACTTCGCTCCTGGCACAGCTTTTGCTGTATCTCACAGGTTTTGGTAGGTTGTATTTCCATCTTCATTTCAATGAAAAAAAAATTTTTTTTAGACGGAGTCTCACTTTGTCGCCCAGGCTGGAGTGCAGTGGCATGGTCTTGGCTCACTGCAACCTCCACCTTCCAGGTTCAAGCAATTCTCCTGCCTCAGCCTCCTAAGTAGCTGGGATTGCAGGTATGCACCACCATGCCCACCCTTTTTTCTTTTTTTTTTTTTTAGTAGAGATGGGTTTTACCATGTTGGCCAGACTAGTCTCCAACGCCTGACCTCAGGTGATCTGCCCGTCTTGCCTCCCAAAATGCCGGGACTACAGGCGTGAGCCACCACTCTTGGCCTCAAGCAACATCTTGATGTTCTTAATTTCTTCCTTGACCCAGAGGTCATTCAGGAGCATGTTAACTTCCATACATTTGTACATCTTCTGAAGTTCCTCTTATTAATCACTTCTAGTTCCATTTCCACTGTGGTCTGAGAAGATGTTTAATAGGATTTCAGTTTCTTTTTTCTTTTTTTTTTTTTTGAGACGGAGTTTCGCTCTTGTTACCCAGGCTGGAGCGCAATGGCGTGATCTCGCCTCACCGCAATCTCCGCCTCCTGGGTTTAGGCAATTCTCCTGCCTCAGCCTCCTGAGTAGCTGGGATTACAGGCACGTGCCACCATGCCCAGCTCATTTTTTTTTTTTTTTTTTTTTTTTGTATTTTTAGTAGAGACGAGGGTTCACCATGTTGACCAGGATGGTCTCGATCTCTTGACCTCGTGATCCACCCGCCTCGGCCTCCCAAAGTGCTGGGATTACAGGCTTGAGCCACCACGCCCAGCCTAGGATTTCAATTTCTATAAATATGTCAGATTTCATTTGTAGCCTAACATATGGTGTATCCTGGAGAATGTTTCATGTGCCAAAGGGAAGACTGTGTTCCTCAGCTGTTGGACAGGGTGTTCTGCAAACACCTCTCAGGTCACTTTAGTCTAAAATGCAGTTGAAATCCAAAGTTTTGGCCGGGCACGGTGGCTCACGCCTGTAATCTCAGCACTTTGGGAAGCCAAGGCAGGTGGATCACCTGAGGTCAGGAGTTCAAGACCAGCCTGGCCAACATGATGAGACCCCCATCTCTACTAAAAATACAAAAATTAGCTGGGCATAGTGGCACACGCCTGTAATCCCAGCTACATGAGCCACTGTGCCTGGCCACAAGAGTCTTAAAATATTCAGAATACATGTATTCACATCATCACAGCTCCCATCGATGGAAAAACTGATGTTGGAAGACTTAGAATCTCCCACTGGAAAAGACTCTATGGGGACAATATGGTGACCCCATTGTGCAGAGACAGGGTGGTCACCACCTAGTTGTGGAAGGAGGGAGGAGAGGCTGCCTATGCGCCCCACCTGGTGCCCACATCTCTCCTGTCCCAGAATCCCACTCCTGTAATCCACAACATCCACAGCCTGTGCCTCAGGGGTCTGGCCAGATGGGACCCATTGTCACTTTGCAGAAAGTGTCATCTCAGGGAAAGGGTAAGACAGGAGACAGACGGGGGCAAGAGCCCAGCTTGGGGTGGATATCTGGGAGAATCTCCTGATTCTCTGGCCTCCCAGGGTCCCCCTGCTGGCCTCCCAGGGTCCCCAGGAGTGGACGGTGGAATTCCCAGGGCTGACCTGGCCCTGACAGTGTCTGGGTGTGAAGTTCCTCCTCTCAGGAGGTCACTGTCTCGACCTCACCCCTGATTTCCTGTGGAGACTCCCCAAAGTCTTGAGCTCTCAGTTCCTTAGACCAGCCCAAGGAACAGACGTTCCCTGGAACCTTCAACCCGAGACATGCTGCTGCCGCTGCTGCCCCTGCTGTGGGAAGGGCGGGGGTGGAGGGACAGGGACAGCATGGGGATGGTTACCCGCTGCCAAGTACAGAGGCTGATGACGGTGCAGGAGGGCCTGGGTGTCCATGTGCCCTGCTCCTTCTCCTACCCAGGGGACAGCCAGACTAACTCTCACCCAGTTCATGGCTACTGGTTCTGGGCAGGGACCGATACAGACCGGGACACTCCAGTGGCCACAAACAACCCAGATAAAAAAGTGGGGGAGGAGGCCGGGCGCGGTGGCTCACGCCTATAATTCCAGCACTTTGGGAGGCCGAGGCAGGTGGATCACGAGGTCAAGAGATCAAGACCATCCTGGTCAACAGGGTGAAAACCCATCTCTACTAAAAATACAGAAATTAGCTGGGCACAGTGGCACACGCCTATAGTCCCAGCTACTCAGGAGGCTAACGCAGGAGAATTGTTTGAACCCAGGAGGTGGAGGTTGCAAGGTTGCAGTGAACAGAGATCATGCCACTGCACTCCAGCCTGGGTAAAAAGAGCGAAACTCCTTCTCAAAAAAAAATAAAAATAAAAATAAAAAATAAAGAAAAGAAAAGTGGGGGAGGAGACCCAGGGCCAATTATTCCAACTCCTAAGGAACCGACAAACCAACGAGTGTTCCCTGGTCATCAGAGACGCCAGCGGGAGGGACAGTAATTCCTACCTGTTGCGGGTGGAGAGAGGAAGTGTGAGATGAAATTACAAGCAATACCAGCTCTTTGTGCGTGTGAAAACAGGGAAGGCACAGGCTCCAGGAGTGGCCACAAGGAAGGTATGGGGGCTGCGGGCCAGGGCTGGCACAGACCCTCTCCTAGGTGGGAGTTGGGGGTAAAGGGACTCAAGGTGAGGGGAGGAGCTGGATCAGAGCCTGAGATTCCCCAGGGTCACGCCTTGACCCCTCTTCCTGATCTTGCGTCCCCCTCTCCTTACCAGCCCTGACTAACAGGCCTGACATCCTCATCCTGGGGACCCTCAAGTCCAGCAGCCCCAGGAACCTGACCTGCTCTGTTCCCCAGGCCTGTGGGCAGGGAACGACCCCCATCTTCTGCTGGATGTCAGCTGCCCCCACCTCTCCGGGGCCCAGGACCTTCCACTCCTTGATGCTCATGATCACCCCACGGCCCCAGAACCACGGCACTAACCTCATCTGTCAGGTGACGTTCCCTGGAACTGGTGTGACCACGGAAAGAACCATCCAGCTAAATGTCTCTGTGAGTGCTGGGCCAGGATGCCTGGGCCCCTGAGGGTGTGGAAGGAGGGCAGGGCTGAGCCAGAGCTTAGAGCTGGGGACCTGGTAGCCAAAGAGGAGAGCTTCCTTCTCTGTTTCCACGGCTCCTTGCAGGGAAGGCCCCATGCCCAATGTCCCTCTTCAGGGATGTGGAGGTGGCCACCTCTTTCCACCCTAGAAGCTCCACAGAATGTGGCCATCAGCATCTTCCAAGGTAACAGCACAGGTAGGAAGGAGCTTGTCCTGCCCTCTTCGGGGCTGGATGGAAGCAGAGAGGGGGACCAATATGAAAAGCCGGACCCCTATAATCCTTACAGCATAAAGTGAGGATGAGAGATTGAGGCAATAAAGGGAGGCCAGTCTCGGGGAGGGGCATGAGGAGGCCCCACAGACTTGACCGCGCTGAGCTGAGACTCTGCTCACCCACATGCTCTGTGGCCACATCCACGGGAGCCGCCACACCCCTCTCTGTTTCTCCTCCTGCCGCTCCTCTGTGGTCCAGGAATCGCACTTGTTTGCCACGTTACTGTCCCCAGCCCCCGCTCTTCCTGCTTCGGGACAGCCTGGGCAGCTCCGGGGGGAAGTGGTCTGGGCTGCTCGGAAGGCCTGAGGCCCTCCCTCTACTAGTCCCTCCTCAGAGCTAGTGTGGACCCCGGAGGAGGAGAGGGACACGAGCGCCTCACTTCCCACCTGGCTTTGCGCCTTTCTCCCCAAAGCTCTCAAGATTCTGCAAAACACCTCGTTCTTTCTTGTCCTGGAGGGCCAGGCTCTGCGGCTGCTCTGTGATGCTGACGGCAACCCCCTGCACACCTGAGCTGGTTCCAGGGCTCCCTGCCCTAAACACCACCCTGGTCTCTGGTACCAGGGTCCTGGAGCCCCTTGCATAGGGTCTGCAGGAGGAGGAGGCTTCACCTGCTGAGCTCAGCACCCTGGGCTCCCTGCAAATGTCTCTGAGTCTCTGTGTGCACTGTGAGTGTGGGGACAGCTGGAGCAGGAACTGGATGGTATAAGGGGGGAAGAGGCCCCCTGCTGAGTCCACCCCCACCCTGGTGGAGGAGCAGGAGTTCCACTACACCCCCTTCAACTTCCAGGAGCTGAGGCCCTGGGAGCCTGCGGGCCAGGAGGCCCCCAGCACCACCGACTACTCAGAGATCAAGATCCATAAGGGGTGGCTCCCAAGGGGCCTGGGCTTTGGGCTTTGGCTGGAGAGAGAGATGTCAGGGAGGTTCCAAAGTGGAGTTCTCCATGGGAACAGGACACCAGCAAGTATGTGGGAATCACGCTGGTGTGATGGCCAGAACTGGACTCAGATTTCAGCCCCATCCAGGACTAATAGTTCGAGCAAGTTACTTTACTCTTCACTTTCCTCCCCTGCGTGGTGGACACAGTAAACCTAACTCGCAGGGTTCTTGTGAGCATGAGGAATTAACATAAAGCAGCCAATAGGGGAGAGTCTCATCTGAGTCACGCCTCTTCCCAGGGTAGCCCATGAGGTAGAAAGGTCTGATCATCCATCTGTAGTCCCAGCTACTCAGGAGCTGAGGCAGGAGAATCGCTTCAACCCAGGAGGCGGAGGGTGCAGTGAGCCTAGAGTATGCCACTGTGCTCCAGTCTGGGTGACAGAGCAAGACTCCGTTTAAAAAAAAAAAAAAATGTCTGATTATTCCAGTCCAACTCTGCAGGACAGGTCTAGCTTCAGAGCTCCCTGAAGCCTTGGCTGGGGCTGGGGCTGTCCTTGGGCTGCTTTGTAGCTCAACTGATTCTCTCTCTGCCACTCCCACTCCCCCCACTGCCCTTCTGGATCCCGGGGCATCTTGGAACCTCAACCTCCATATTTTACCACACACAGATAATCATCCATTACCTGAAATAAATGATGAATGTCTGAATCACATACCTCTATCATTAATTATATTTCCCTGATGATTTTGTTCCGTTCAGCAGTGTTCTTTTTTTTTTGGAGGAGTCTCAGTCTGTCACCCAGGCTGTAGTGCAGTGGTGTGATCTCAGCTCACTGCAGCCTCTGTCACTTGGGTTCAAGTGATTGTCATGTCTCAGCCTCCTCAGTAGCTGGGATTACAGGCGTGTGCCACCACACACAGCTAAATTTTCTATTTTTGATAAGAGATGGGGTTTCACCATGTTGGCCAGGCTGGTCTCGAACTCCCGACCTCAGGTGATCCACCGGGCTTGGCCTCCCAAAGTGGTGGGATTACAGGTGTGAGCCACGGCGCCCAGCCAGCAGTGTCTTCTTTTTGCAGGATTCTCTTATAAAATTCCTTGCAGCTGCAGTCTGTGTTCCATTCACATTCTAAAAGGTTGCTGGCAGTGGTCATATTCAATTTCTCTCCTCCTCCTTCTGTTGAACAGGCGTTAGAAAGAAACCACAGGCACCACATACGCAAGATGAGGCAATTCCCCGAAGAGCCTGCTGTGGTGTCTGCCGTGCTGCTGGGGGGCATTGCTGCAACTTTCATGCGGAACTTGCTTTCCATGTGTCACTTAGCTATGGGGATACGTCCTGAGAAATGCATGCTTAGGTGATTCTGTTGTGAGTGAGCATCCTGGATGTGCTTACACAGTCCTGGATGGTGCAGCCTACCACACGTCAAGGCTATACGGTATAGCCAATTGCTCCTAGGCTGTACACCTGCATAGCATGTTTCTGTACTGAAAGCTGTAGGCAATTATAACACAGGGAGTACGTTAGTAAAAAACAGAGGTTTAGTAAAAATATGGCATAATAGCTAAAAATGGGTCAGGTGAGGTGGCTCACACCTGTAATCACAGCTCTTTGGGTGGGTGGATCACTTGAGGTCAGGAGTTCAAGACCAGCCTGGCCAACGTGGCAAAACCTCATTTCTACCAAAAATACAAAAATTAGCTGGGCGTGGTGGCAGGCGTCTGTAGTCCCAGCTACTCAGGAGGCTGAGGTAAGAGAATCGCTTGAACCTGGGAGATGGAGGTTGTAGTAAGTAAGCCAAGATCGCACTACTGCACTCCAGCCTAGGCGACCGAGCAAGACTGTCTCAAAAACCTAAGACCACCACCATCGGCTGGATGCGGTGGCTCACGCCTGTAATCCTGGCACTTTGGGAGGCCGAGGTGGGTGGATTACCTGAGGTCAGGAGTTCAAGACCAGCCTGGCCATCATGGTGAAACCCCATCTTTAAAAAAAAAAAAAAAAGAAAAAAGTATATATAAAAAAAAAGACCACCACCATCACCACAAATATCTGACTAAATCTAAGCCAGGGCTCCATTTTGGGGCAGAGGGCAGGGTGTCGGTGTGGGGGACAGGGAATGGGCTCCAGCCAGCATCAGCTCCATGTCCTGGTGGCACCTGAGCCATTCCCACTCCCACGTTTGGAGATCATCATCTAACCCTGATGACAATGGCCTCTTCTCAGAGCCTGGGGGATGAGCTGCCAAAGTCCATGAGGGTTCAGAACCTGGGCTCTGGAGATAGAAGATACTGGGCTCAGAGAAGTGGGGCCACTGCCCAGGCTTTCCCTGGGCTCCGTCCACTGTCTGAGCAGGGTCAGGTTGGGCTGGTTATGCTGGCAAAGACAGGGGAGGAGGACACATGGGCTGCGGGGACCTTGGGGCGGCGCTTGACTGGGCACTGCTCCAAGGTATGGAGGATGGAGGTTAGTGTGGACACTGTAATGCTGACCCGGGTGCTAAAGGGCAGCTGATGCCCCTCATCTTTTATAGACTTGTGAAAGAGAAATAAATAATAAGTCAAGCTGGGAACTGCTTAGGGCAAATCTGCCTCCCATTCTATTCAAGGTCACCCCTCTGCTCACTGAGACAGCTGGATATCTGAGTGCCCCCTTTGGAAAGGCTAATCAGAAACTCGAAAGAATGTAACTGTTCCTCTTTCACCTACCTGTGACCTGAAAGCCCCCTCCCTACTTCACGTCTTCCCAGCTTTCCAAATGGAACCAATGTACTTCTTACATATATCAACTGATGTCTCATGTCCGCCCAAAAACTCAGCTGTGCACATACATCATCGGGACCTCCTGAGGCTGCATCACTGGCCTGTGTCCTCAACCTTGACAAAATAAAACTTTCTAAATTAATGGAGACCTGTCTCAAATTTTGGGGGTTCACAGACTCATGTGCAACAAGGGGTCTAAGCAGGACAGGTTCAGGGGGGTTTTCTTATCAGTGAATGTCCCCTTCTGGAAAGGGGCGCACACACCTGCTTTCAGCCAGGAGATGGTAAGAGGTTCCCCGATCCCACCCGCTAGTCCTGAGCAGGATTTATCAGTACAGGAGAGTCAGGGCGTCTGACACCACTTCCTCCCTTACCTGGCCTCAGATTCTCCATACTGCATGTGGAAAACGAGTTTAGACAGTTCCTCTTCAAAGAGTTTCACTTTGTTACAAATAAGGTGTTCTTCTCCAGAGGCCTTATACTTGCTTGTACTGTCTGTCCTGAAGTCTTATTTCCCTGTTCTTTGTCTAAAGTCATCTTGCCTGCCAATCTATCAGCCCCTCCGGCCCTGCTGTGCTCAGGCATGCCCGCCAAGAAACCACTCCCTCCCTCCTGTAACAGCTTTCCCCACTGAAACTGTTCTTCCCTACGCTCTTCAAATTAGCTAGTCGTGTTTGGCTTAAGACTGTGCAGTCCTACCCCAACCAAGAGGGGAATGATACCGCACCTAAGGCCAGCTGCGTTAGAAATGAAAAACCCTTGCTCTCCTGTGTCCGATGTGCTCTCGCCATTGCTCCATCCACGAGACACACCCTTCTATGGAAGTAGATTTGCCTTGCTGAGAAAATTTATGTTGAAGTGCTAGTCTTTTGCAGCACTGAAAATTTGTTTCTAAAAATGCATGCTCTGAGCTATTAAAAAAAAAAAATTCAGAGAGGTGGGTTTAACTTCTCTTCCTCCTCTTTTTTTTTTTTTTTTGAGACACAGTCTCACTCTCTTGCCCAGGTTAGGGTACAGTGGTGCAATCATGGCTCACTGCAGCCTCAACTTGCTGGGCTCAAGTGATCCTCCTGCTTCAGCCTCCCAGGTAGCTGGGACTACAGGCACCCACCACCATGCCTAGCTGATTTTTAAATTTTCTGTAGAGATAGGTTTCATCCTGCAGCCCGTGCTGGTCTCAAACTTGTGGGTTCAGGTGATCCTCCTGTCTTGGCCTCCCAAAGTGCTGAGATTACAGGTGTCAGGCACCGCTCCTGGGCCCCAAAAGAATTTCTTTTGCAGACACTGGGTCCTCAAACTCCACTAAAACAATTTATTACCAAAGCACAGAGGTGTCAAGAGTAGGAGGGGTCCCCCCTGGGAGCCAGCCCAACCCCATCCAGCCTTGCTAGGACACTGGCTAGAGGGCAGGCCACGGGAGGGGGAACTTCACATTTGCTGGAGGGAAACTGGGGACCTCCCTGAGGCTAATCAGGACTGATGAGTACCCTAAAACCAGTGGCAGGAATGCACATTCCAGAGCTTGTTCTAGAAGCTTATCTGTGTTTAACAGCAGGCCTTGAGTCACATTGCTTCATTTTTTTTTTTCTGTTGCACACTGCAAATAGAAAGTTCTGGAAGACAATAAAAATGGCTGTGAGTGTCTCATTCATTCATGGAACACCCTCTATGCTCTTACTTTGTGCCAGGCACTTTCTAGGTACTGGGGATGTCATCATGACCATATGGGACAGGGAGCCCCTGCTGGGTTAGGACACAGAAGAGGAGGGCAGAGACTACACAGTAAACACAGGCTTCCCTCCAGATGGGAACAAGGGCTGTGTGGAAACAGGTGACGTGATGAGCAAGTGGGTGGGAGGCGGTGAGGATGCCTCACGGAGGATGGGGAAGGCCTCGGGTCTTCAGCAGCAGCAGGTGTGTAAAACCAGGATGAGGGGAGCTTTCCAGACCCCGGGATGGTAAGGGCAGAGGTCCCAGGGTGGGGTCCAGCTTGGCCTGGTCTAGAATCCGAGGGAAGGGGATGTGGCCGGCGCAGTCGTGCACGGGGGAGAAAGGGAGCTCAGCCTCGGGTCAAGGCAAGGAGCTGCCATGGAGCTGAGGCGGAGCGACCTTCAAGGTGCTAGAGATCACCAGGCTCCTTAAATGCCATCTCCACATCTCCCAACCAAGGGGCTGTGGCCTCCAGGGAGCGTGTGGGTGTGAGACGGTGGAGATCCTGGAAGGGTCAGGTTCTAAACGCCCTTTGTCCTGGGTGACAGGAAGGCACTGTGAGACAGGGCGGCACCGACGGGAAGCCTGGGCTAGCTCCATCGATAAACCGGACGGAGCCTCTGCCTTGTGCCATGTCAGAAAAGCAGAGACGCTAGAGTCAGATGCAACCCTGCCCTCCAGGCGCCCGCTGCCAGCAGGAGACTGTGACAAGTGACCCCATGGTTGGCCTCATCTGGGACCGAAGATTTGGAGGAGGATGCTGAGGAGCGAGGCTGTTGGGGAGGATTCCAAGCTGTCTGGCCTGGACAACTGGGTGCACAGAGGAGGAGCTGTCTATCGAGCTGGAGAGGTGGGGAAGGAGTGAGCCTGGCTCATAAGGTCATGACTTCACTCTTGGGGTGGCTGGTTGAAGCAGAGAGCCTGCCACTCCACCACAGAGAAAAGAGACTCCGCCCCTCACCGCTGGCTCAGGCTGTGCACAGCTGCTCTGTGAAGCGCTCGGCACACACGTGTCAGCTCACACTTCGGCCTCCGGTATAAGGCAAGGTTGTGGGAATGAAGAAGCATGTGTAATCAAAGCGCCCATAGGAAGGTGGCCACACAGGGAGACAGGCCGCCGAAAGGAGATGCTATTCCAGACCAGGACCTCACAGTCGCAGCGCTGCCGACCACTGGGGCCAGGGGACTCTTCGCGGGGGCGGGTAGAGGTGAGGACCGTGCTGTGTGTCACAGGATGTCCAGCAGCATCCCAGCCTCTACTGTCCCGCATCCTGATAACCAAAAATGTCTCCAGACACTGCCAAATGCCCCCTTGGGTGGTGCCCAGTTAGAAAAGCACTTAGCTTTGGTTCCAGCCAACCCTGATGAGAGAAAAGAAAACTCTAGGAGAGATAAGGGGCCTGGAGCTTCTGCTCTTTAGGACGCATCTCTGCACCCTTGCCAAAATGTACTGCGAAGTTAGTCTGTCTTCGACTTTGCAAAAATTCCTGTACACTTACACACAGTGCTGATGGGAGTAAAGCAATCTAGTTATCACAGTCAAGATGACAGCTCCATCCACGGATGGCACGCACCAGCCAGGCTGTGCACACGGGCATCATTGTTCGTAAAATTAAAATCTGGGAAACTAAGCAAACGCCTAGCTGCTGGCTGTGAGAAGTGTCCGTCACCCATGTGATGCAGTAGTGTGTGCTATGAACAAGACCGGAAGGCATGGAGCAGCTGCCTTTTGTGTGGCGGCGCCGGGGGGGCCCTATGGGGTCAGGCCAAAGGAAAGTAGAGACTATAGGTGTCCAGGTGGAAGGACAGAGGGAGTCACAGATGCAAGAAGGGACAGAAGAAGATGGTGAAAGACAGACAGATGCTATTTCTGAGGCCCTGAATCCGGTCATGCCTGAAGCTCCCCCTTAGAATTTTCTAGCTACAACAGCCAATCAACCCCTCGCCTTTTTTTTTTTTTTTTGAGGCGGGGTTTCGCTCTTGTTACCCAGGCTGGAGTGCAATGGCGCGATCTCGGCTCACCGCAACCTCCACCTCCTGGGTTCAGGCAATTCTCCTGCCTCAGCCTCCTGAGCAGCCGGGATTACAGGCACGCACCACCATGCCCAGCTCGTTTTTTGTATTTTTAGTAGAGATGGGGTTTCACCATGCTGACCAGGATGGTCTCGATCTCTCGACCTCGTGATCCACCCACCTCGGCCTCCCAAAGTGCTGGGATTACAGGCTTGAGCCACCGCGCCTGGCTTTTTTTTTTTTTTTTTTTTTTAAGACGGAGTTTCGCTCTTGTTACCCAGGCTGGAGTGCAATGGCGCGATCTTGGCTCACCGCAACCTCCGCCTCCTGGGTTCAGGCAATTCTCTTGCCTCAGCCTCCTGAGTAGCTGGGATTACAGGCACGCGCCACCATGCCCAGCTAATTTTTTGTATTTTTAGTAGAGACGGGGTTTCACCATGTTGACCAGGATGGTCTCGATCTCTTGACCTCGTGATCCACCCGCCTCGGCCTCCCAAAGTGCTGGGATTACAGGCTTGAGCCACCGCGCCCGGCTAACCCCCTTTTTCTTAAAGCCAAGTTGAGCTGGGTTTCTGCTGCTTGCTATTCCCGGAGGTTGGAAAGTTCAAAGACCCTGTGGAGAAACCCAGCGTCTCCCTGGGAAGCTGGGCCCTGGTATGAATGTGGAACAGCCTCTGGGAAGCGTCCCCTGGAGCTTGGGGCAGGGCTGGGGGGAAGGCAAGGGGTGAGAGGGCTTAAAACTCACAAGCTCTTCCCACCTGGGTTCCACCTAGGGCACCATGGGGAGGCCAATGGGGTCATATGGCGACACACGCAGATCCTGCAGCAGGGCTTCCAGGCTGTTCCTCAGCATGGCGTAGGGCGGCTTCTTGTCGTACTCGAGGGCCATCACCACCTTCAGGTACTTCTGCAGAGTCTCTGTGGTGAAGACAACCCCCAGCGAGGAAGAGTCTAAGAGGTGTCCCCCAACCCTGAGCCAGGGGGTCTGCGCCCAGAGGTGGAGGGCTGAGGGACTGAGGAGGATGAGGGTCTGAGCAAAAGTGCACATCTGCTTGGTGCCTGGCATTGCCAGAGGACTTAAATGTTTTGTTTCCGACACACGCACCAGTAGTTCTTGGGCATGAACACCCAAGAACTCATCACTCAGGTTCAACAATGACCACCTCACAGCCAATCTCGTTTCATCAATACCCCTCGCCTGGCCTGCAGTGTTTTAAAGCAAATCCCAGCAAGCAATGCAGTCCACCTGAATATAAATACTTACTTAGCATGTATCTTTAAAGTGGACAGGCCCTGCCTCGCCTCTACCTCCAACCTCTGACAGCTTAAAATCCTAGAGGCCCAAGATTTAGAGACAGAACTGGAGGGGAGCACCACTCAGGCAGCTGAGCCATGATCTGAACCCAGAGATTTAAATAATTCAAAAATGAGCCTTAGAGAGCCCGAGGGGAAAAGCTATCTGTTTCTGTCTGTTTCTTTTCTGCCTCCAGCTTGAAGAAAAGCATCAGTGCTCTTCAGAAGGGCACTGCAAAAGACCACAGCAACGACGAACACCCCCCAAGCCCAAACAAAATAGCTGCAAATATCCAGTAACAGGGCCTGGACTTACAAGCTATGATGCTGCCAAACCATGAATGTCGTGCAGCTGTCAATAACAGCTGTGGAGCATCTATAAGGAAGGGCATGAAGGATGGGCCCAGGGTTAAGTGAAAAAAGCAAGAGGTAGAATGAGACATATGTAAGGTGAGCCCATTTTTTGGTCATAAAAATGGCTGGCCACAGAGGCTCATGCCTTGTAAACCCAGCACTTTGGGAGGCCAAGGTGGGTAGATCAGCTGAGGTCAGGAGTTCAAGACCAGCCTGGGCAACGTGGTAAACCCCACCTCTACTAAAAATACAAAAAATTAGCCAGGTATAGTGATGCACGCCTCTAATCCCGGCTACTTGGGAGGCTGAGGCACGAGAATCATTTGAACCAGAGGCAGAGGTTGCAGTGAGCTGAGATTGCGCCACTGCTCTCCAGCCTGGGTGACAGAGCAAGACCCTGTCTTAAAAAAAAAAAAAAAAAAAATTACCCTGTCTTCAAAAAAAAAAGTTGTGTGTTTCTGTTTTGTTCTTGTTCAGAAGCACTTGTGAATTTTTTGACTGATTTTTTTCTTTCTACAATGGGTACATATTACAAATGCAATTTGGAAAACTTAAAAAAAAAAAAAAACAAGGGATGTAGGGAGAGGCCACCCCAAGACGGATCTAAGCCACCAGGTCCCACCTGGTGGCCCACCTTCTTCAGGACATACCTGAGGGCCTGATCCAGGTACCAGCAGGGTCCCACGAAGGGCCCCGGCTTATCAAGAAACCTGAAGAGACAGAAGCACATGTGAAATGTCTTTTAGGGAAAGAAGAGCAACCTTTTAAAACAGATCGCCTAAGATATACACACAGTCCACTTTGCCATCCAGGGTAGTTATGTTCTTAAAGTCATTTTGAACACTGAATCAACCAATCCACTACCATTGCTCCCAGGGGAAACAGCACTGGCTTCCTGCAAGCCTCTGCTCACACCATTTTCATCAGCCCATCGATATGACTTGTTTTGTGTATGTTTCTGTTAAAAGACATCTTATGTAATAGGTATTCTTGATTCATTAGCATTGAACTCTATTTTAATCTGGGATCTTTAAGACGGAGAGGATCCCTTCAATGATGAGGGAAGATCTAAGATGGAAATAAAGATTTTATTACTTGCAGGTCCTGGGGGCACACAGCACACCCAAAGGAGACACACACCCACACCCACACCCACGCACACGCACACACTCACACTGGTCAGGGAGCTCGTGGCTACATGAGGGACCAATGTGTGGTATCCAAACATTTCGAGGGGACTTTAACTGGTGGGTTCAAAGCAAGCAGGCTTGAGTTCCAGGTCACACTGTGCCTGAAAGGCATCTACACAGTCCACATGGGGTGTGGGGGCCAGCAGGGCCGTCAAGTAGGCTGCCTGTGGCTGTCCCATAAGGAGAGAGGTGGTCCCCAGGAGGCGGCTGCATAAGGAAGATATCTGGGTCAACCATACAGAGGAACTGGGAGGAGGTGGAAAACTGGAAACTATGCTGAGTGATCGAGACCTGCTTCTGGCATGAGATAAAGTCCAACTTACATTCAAATGAATGCCAAGGCAACGTAAAATGGCAAGAGTTCCCCACAAACTCATGGCTTACAGCACCATAGCTCATGCCTGAACAAAGCTGATAAAACACACAAATTATTAACCGTCTCAGGCTTCAGGACGTCAGACATGGCTTCAGCACTACGCTAGGTGGCTGTTTTATTTTTTATTTTTTGTAGAGACAGAGTCTCACTATATTGCTCAGGCTCATCTGATCCTCCTGTCTCTGCCTCCCAAAGTGTGAGATTGCAGGTGTGAGCCACCACACCTGGCTGAAGCCATTTTAAATGGCATAATCACTGACAAAAGCATAAAAACAGGAAAAAATGCAGCATTAACTAAACAGTGAAAAGAACACTGGCATATAGTATGAGGGCTGAAACAGGGCAGCAGAATGCTGTCTGGCTCCACCCTAGGCTGGGAACACATGTCAGGTGATTAAAAATTTTCTCCACACTATATATAGTCTGCAAGCGCTTATGAAAGAACTCCAAGAGGCCGGGCGTGGTGGCTCACGCCTATAATCCAAGCACTTTGGAGGCCAAGGCGGGCGGATCACCTGAGGTTGGGAGCTCAAGACCAGCCTGACCAACATGGTAAAACTCTGTATTTAAAAAAAAAAAAAAAAAAAAAAGGAAGAACTCCAAGAATTGATTTGGGGTTGCAAATACTTTTAGTGCGTAGGAGAATTCATACATATGGACTCTGAATAATCAGGACTGACAGTATATGTATACACACACACATGCTTGCACGTGCACCCCTCTTTAGCTGTTCAGGAAAAATCCTGATTCGCCCACTGCCTTTGCTCCATCCTCCAGGCCCAGCTCCTCCACTTTTCTGCCTGGTCCATTGGGCCAACTCCCACCACCTGCCCAGTCACTGGGCTCTGACCTTGCCTTCGCCATCCCCAGCCCCACCCTCCTGCTCATCTCTCTCCTGTTTAACTCTCTCTGCCCCATGTCCTCCGATGTCCCACAGATCCGGGCCCAACTCAGGCTTCATCCTTTCTCCTTGGACCTCAGGTCCTCCCTGGCCTCCTGTGCATCCCCATGTAGTCCCAGAGGTTCTCTTTACACCTGTCCCTGCCCCTCCCTGCTCACAGCCCACCCTCCCTCCGTGGCTCCCCAGCACACACGGCCACCTAGCCACCCCTCTGGCTCTGTCTCCCCACTCCCTCCTCCCATTGCATGTCCCAGCCGCACCAGGCCACACATCTCTGCACATTTCTGCCTCTGCACCTGTCGCTCTAGCTGCCTGGGCGGTTTTCCCCTCTGAGCTCTGGCAGGTGGCTGTTCTCCGTTTCAGATATAGCTCAAGGGCTTGGCTTCCTAGAAAGTCTTCCCCAGACCCCTCCAGGCAGAGGAACTCCGTCCCTCCCAGGCTTGTGTTTAGATCCCAGCTGTCCTACAGCAGCCATCAACATACATGCTCAGGAAGGGCCAGTTGTGCCATCACCAGGACGTTGTGCGCTGCACAGCAGCGCTGCTGCCGCCGACTGACACGGGGTCTCCCTGACCAGCTGGGAGGCCTAAGAGCGGAATCAAAGCTGGCTCTTGTTTGTGCTTTGCCCAGCAAAGGGCCTTGAATGCCAGAAAGACTCAGGGACTCAAACTGCCTCTCCTCCTTCTTTCACTCATTCTTTCTATTGTGAACTACAATGTGCAAAAAATGAGTATCTGCTGAATGAATGGTAAAAGGCCATGTCTATCAGTAAAACATCCTCACAGAGGAAACCCTGGGGAGGCAGGAAACGAACAGGCAACATTGCCCATCTGTGGCCCCCTTGGTTACTGTCTGGGCCAACAGACGCTGGGCTGGGGGTGAGGAGACGTGTCTGGGGTACAGCATCAACATCACCAGCTACTCTACAGGGAGTATCTTTGTGCGCCCAGCCCTCTACCGTCATGGTCTGGAGCTAGGACTGTGGAATTAGTTATCCATGCTGATATCATTGATCTGCGATGATTACTACGACCCGTCTTATTCACCCTGCATCATGTTGGCAAGTGCAGACCCTCCCTGTGAACCAGTCACGTTCATGGAAAGTCTCTTTAGATGGGGTGTGTGTGTGTGTGTGAAAACGGTAATATGACTGCTCCTAGGAGTTAGGAAGTGGAGTGCGGAGAAGACTGAACCCAGGGGAGCCTCGGGGACTGGTTTCCCTGACAAGAGTGGAGTGCAGAGCCACTGTGGACTGATTCTAACCTGGGTGTCCAGCACAGCCACTGGCCTCAGGACCCAGGCCCTGAATGAAAGTGGAGAGGGAGCCGGGCGCGGTGGCTCAAGCCTGTAATCCCAGCACTTTGGGAGGCTGAGGCGGGTGGATCACGAGGTCGAGAGATCGAGACCATCCTGGTCAACATGGTGAAACCCCGTCTCTACTAAAAATACAAAAAATTAGCTGGGCATGGTGGCACGTGCCTGTAGTCCCAGCTACTCAGGAGGCTGAGGCAGGAGAATTGCCTGAACCCAGGAGGCGGAGGTTGCGGTGAGCCGAGATCACGCCATTGCACTCCAGCCTGGGTAACAAGAGCGAAACTCCGTCTCAAAAAAAAAAAAAAAAAAAAAGAAAGTGGAGAGGGTTCAGATCTGTGCTGTCCTGTCTGCCTCCCGCCTGGCCACCAGGCCAGGCATCTCCCAGCTGAAAGTTTCTGGCAGCCAGCGGTGGGGTCTTGTGCCTCCCCTCTGCTCCCACAGTGCCGGGGCTACCTCCACCCTCACCTGCAGCTCCTGCTTCCTGTCTGGGTATCCTCACAGCCCAGGAACCGCCTACACTGAGGCTGTGCCTGCCTGCCCTCTGTGTCTGCACTGAAGCCTGGGTGGGCTCATGCATTCACTCCTTAGTTGTTCTTTGTCCCACTACAATTTCTCTTTCCTTTTTTTTTTTTTTTTTTTAGACAGTGTCTCACTCTGTTGCCCAGGCTGGAGTGTAGTGACACAATCACAGCTCACTGAAGCCTCAACCTCCTTGGGCTCAAGTGATCCCTCCACTTCAGCCTCCTGAGTAGCTGGGACTACAGGCATGTACCACCACACCTGGCTAATATTTTTGTAGAGATGGGGTCTTGCCACGTTGACCAGGCTGGTCTCAAACTCCTGGGCTCAAGCAATCTGCCCATGTAAGCTTCCAAAGTGTTGGGATTACAGGCATGAGCCACTGCGCCAGATCCGCTACTATTTCTTGGGCACCCAAAATGTGTGCGCTCTGTTGCATCCAGAGAATATGTGTATGTCACAGGGAATTGAGGCCCCCCACACCCTCAGTCTCCTACATTGGGACAGTTAATGAGAGAAGTGAACCCTCCCTCATGGAAGCTGCAGTGTTTTGGGGTCTCCTTGTGAGAGCAGCTCAGCCTTGTCTTGAGATAACCCAGAGTGTGTGAGTGAGCATTTCACTACCCTCACTCACACAGGGACATGGGCTCACTCGAGTGGGCTGCTCATTCTGTGACTCATTGATTTTTCACCTGGCTTCATTTCAAACGAAACCTCTGTCTCCCTACTGTGAGCAGAAAACCAGCACCATCTGCCAAAGCTAGAGAGTAAGTGTAAAAATAAGCTCCAAAAAAACGAGGGAATGGACATGTGGTCTAGCGAGTGCCGAGGCTGGCTTCCCATGCAGATGCTGCCTGCGGAAGTCTGAAGGCCTCTCTGTCTCTCCCTCTTCTGCAGGGATGTTGGGGTAAATCAGAACCAAACTGTGACATCCTTCTTGTCACTGTTTCAAGCTTCATGGTCATTCAGGGGGCAATTCACCTGTCACCATCGCTGCGAGACCTGCCCCGGACATTAGACCTGAAAGTGTGCTGCACATCCCTACCCCAAGAGTCCCGCCAGTGGATACCCAGGACCTGCCCCATGACCCCCATCAGTCTGACCTCTGAGATGCCGGGTGTTTCACCCCTTAGCTCCTGTCTCCCCCACTAGGATGTGAGTTCCCTGAGGGCAGGGATTTTTGTCTTACTTACTGCTGTATCCCCAGGGCTTAGAATAGAGCCTAGCACATGGTAGGGTTTGGTATTTGTCGAGTGAAGGTAGGGTGGGTCCAGGCATCACCAATTCACCCTCATAAGCCTCCTATAAGAGGGAAGCAGCATGGAGGCGACAGGGGCTGTCTCTGGAGTTGAATGGCCTGGGCTTGAGCACAGGAGCCCCTGCTTGATAGCTGTGTGACCTGGACTGATTACCTAAGCTCTCTGCGCCACAGAAAATGAGAGCACGCAGCTCAAAGCAGTTGACAGGATGCAGGGAAGCACTGGGTGCAGTGTCCTGCACAGACGAGCATATGATAAATGTTAGCTTTGAAGAGTAACTAGGAGGAGGTCAAAATGATAAGATACATCCCCTTGTCTGAAGGAGGATCAATTTCTGGACATGGTGCTACTTATGCCAATTAAACATACAAAAGAATATCATATAGTTTTTAAGGACACAGATGCATCTAAATAAAAACATTTAGGAGTATTCAGAAGTAGTGAACTAGCTATGTAGCTAAAGTTAAAAACACAGTATTGAGTGAAAGAAGGCAAGAAACAGCATGAGGTTTAGAGCATAGTACCATTTATACAAATTAAACACACATACCACCATATATAGTTCAAGGACACAGACACGTCATATAAAATTGATTTAGAAGCAGGAGTCAGAAGCAGTAAACTCGATCCACATGTAGGGATAGGGTTAAAGCTGGAGAGAGCCAGAGACAGATGAGATGCAGAGGGAAACATCACTTACGCAAACCACACACAGCACCACTGCCGGCATGCGGTTTTGAGGTTATAAATACATCTAAGTGACCACATCGGCAGAACACACAGTAAGCATTCTGAAGAGGCTGTCCATGGTTTAGAGAAGGAAGTTGAGAGATACAAAGGGAGTTAAATGAGAGTCTTCACATGAGGGAAGGACTGGGAAGGACTTCACTGCACACTAAGGACTGGGAAGTATGAGGGACTCGATGCTGTTCATTGGAGGGATTACCTTGTTCCCACTCTATACACTTTCCCAGATAATCTCATCCTCTCCTGGGGCTTTAGCTGACAGTTCCTGAGGTATTTCTGGGGTCTGAGTCTCCCTTTAGACTTCATTCCTGCACTTCAGATGTAGATGGACAGCTACCTCCCAGATGAGTCAGGCAACTCTTTTTTTTTTTTCTCCTGAGAGTCTTACTCTGTCACCCAGGCTGGAGTGTAGTGGCATGATCTCAGCTCACTGCAACCTCCACCTCCAGGGTTCAAACAATTCTCCTGCCTCAGCCTCCCAAGTAGCTGGGATTACAGGCACCCGCCATCATGCCCAGCAAATCCCTAGCACTTTCCTTCTGTGTCCAGCGGCCTGCTGTCCTTGGTGCTGAACACAAACCTTAGTGCCTCCCTTTTGTGCCCAGCGACCCACGGTCCCTGGTGCTGAACCCACACTTGTGGTGCTTCCCTTTTATGCCCAGAGACCTGCTGTCCCTGGTGCTGAAGCCTCATCCCCAGCACTTCCCTTTAGGTCCAGCTGCATGCTGTCCTTGGTGCTGAACACACACCCAAGTGGCTTCCTTTTGGGTCCAGCTGCTCGCTGTCCCTAGTGCTGAACACACACTCCTAGTGCTCCCCCTTTGTGTACAGCTGCTCAATGCCCTTAGTGTTCAATCTCACCCCAGAAATTCCCCATATGTTCCACTATACACTGTCTTTGGTGCTGAGTGTTTAAACCAGCACTAGCAGGACCTGGTCATTCACACACAGAGGTGAAGGCACTGATTTGGCAGTGTGGACACTGGGTGGCTAGAACTACGACTGCTAAGGCAGGGCCTGGGCCTATCCTGCTCAGGTTGCCGGCGTGTTTGTGATGAAGTGAGTCATGGTGTCCCATATACGATGAACACTTTCTATGAGCCAGGCCCTATGCTAAGTTTTGTGTGTACCTGACTCCCCTGAACCCTTCAACAGCCCTGTAAGGAGGGAGCCAGTAGGAGACCATCTCATAGAGTAGGACACTGAGGCTCGCAGACATTAACATCCCACAGTGGCGGGGCCAGAGTCCGAGCCCAGGCGACGTGGCTCAGAAACCCCTGCCTTAACTGCTGTGTGGACGGTATATACCAGTGCAGCACAGGCCTGTGTAGCTCAGAGGACTTCAGCTATGTTGGATGCTACCTCCCTTTCCCTCCTGCTCCCTGTTGGGCTCTGGGTTTCTGCCCAGTTGTAGGGATTCTGGGTCAGTGCTGGGTTCTGCTGACCCCCAGACTCACTTCTGTTTTTGCTTCATGATGTCCTCAGTGTTGGGAAGGCAGTCTGTCCATGGCAGAAACCCGTAGAGCCACTTCAGCATGCAGTAGCCCAGGCTCTGGAGGTCGCTGCGGCGGGAGGGCCCTGGGGAGGGAGGGGTAGAGGTGGTGGCTCAGTCTGAATTCTGCACTAACCGACGGGTTCACCCTCTTCCTTTCCCTGACTGACTCAACCATGCACTCACACATGCAGCCTTCCAGCCACATGGGCTGTTTCCTCTGCTCATTCACTTTCTTTTTTTTTTTTTTTTTGAGACGGAGTTTCGCTCTTGTTACCCAGGCTGGAGTGCAATGGCGCTATCTCGGCTCACCGCAACCTCCGCCTCCTGGGCTCAGGCAATTCTCCTGCCTCAGCCTCCTGAGTAGCTGGGATTACAGGCACGTGCCACCATGCCCAGCTAATTTTTTTTTTTTTTTTGTATTTTTAGTAGAGACGGGGTTTCACCATGTTGACCAGGATGGTCTTGATCTCTCGACCTTGTGATCCACCCGCCTCGGCCTCCCAAAGTGCTGGGATTACAGGCTTGAGCCACCGCGCCCGGCCTCATTCACTTTCATGAGTAGGCAGAGGTCGACTTCATTCTCATTCTCACTCAACCATCCCCTCAGCCCCTTTCACCAGCTCACCCTCATCCACTCTTCTTTCATTCATGCACTCATTCAATGAATCCTCAGTGCCTGTGTGCCGGGCACTAGCTCACACTCTGAAAACCCAAACCAGGATCTTGTCGAGTCCCAGCCCATGACAGTCTAGTGGGAAGACAGCTATAGCGTGGGACTACTTGAGTGACAAAGGACACAGAACAGAGCACAAGAGAGCCCAGAAGGATGGGCACCAAACCCAGCCTCAGTGGGGGAGGGCAGGGAAGACTGACAGTTTATTTTCCTTATGCTTCCTGAGCCACTTAATCACAATGCTTTGTGTAAGCACTCAACGAGTACTACTTGTCCATGCCAGCCTTCCACCACCTGATGCTGGAGGCAGGGGGGCCATCCCTGCCCTGGGGGAGCTCAGTCTGGTGGGAGGACATGGCAGGCATGTGGATGGCCAAAATATAAAGGGATATGAGAAAGAGGGGCTCAAGAAATCTGCCCCGGGCTCTCTTCCTTCTCTACACTTTCAGTGGATGATCCCATCCTCTCCCAGGGCTTCGGCTGATTAACTCCTGAGATACTGCAGAGCCTCTGTGCAGAGTTCCCTCCCACAATTCAGATGTGGTGGCCAACCACCTCCTCAACAGTCCCTCCTGGATGACTCCTAGGCAACCCTCATCTTCTAAGTCATCACCAGATCATGAATCCCAACCTCTGAAACTCAGGGCTCCCCAGTGCCCAGCCACCTGCTATCCTTGGTACTGAACCCGGCGGTTGGGACGCTATCCGTGGTCCCCCCATCCTGGCGCCTTTAGTGCCTGTCCTGTCTGGCCACCTGCTGTCTCTGGCTGTGAACCTCTAGAGCTGCCCTTGTATGAGAAGCGGGTCTCCGTGGTCCCAAACCCCTCCCTGGCTTCGTACCACATCCCCTGTGCAGGTCCATGCTAATGAACTCAAGGTCCCCCTCGTGAGGGCTCCTGCTGCCTTCCGCGTAGGCCACATGTTTGCCACTTGGGCAATAGCGGAAGGCGAAGCCATAGCCTGCCAAGGTCACCTGTGGACACAGGAAAAAGCCATACAAATTGGAGGTTAGGAGTGCAGAAGTCAGAGATTTCCACTATAGATCCAACTGAAAACAACCATTCTATCAAAGATGACATTTTTCACTTACAAAACTAAGCTATGCTCACAGTAAAAATGAGATGAAGTAAAAAGACCTCAAACCAGCCATCTATATTTCCTCCCAGCCCCCAAAACCCACGCCCAGAAATAAACACTAGTAACAGTTTCTTATGCATCATTCCAAATTGTTTTCTTTAAATAACGAGGTAAACATATGTGGATGAGGTGGGGGCTCTTGTTTTCCAGAGGCTTCACACCAGACCTCCCACTGGGCACCAGCACTTAACAGTTTAATAGTGGTTCTGGGTATTAACTCTGAAGCCAGATGGTCTGAGTCCAAATGCCAGCTCAGCCTTCTGGTGGTGATACAACCTCGGGCAAGCTACACCACTTCTCTCTGCTATGATTTCCCCATTTGTAAAATGATAATAGTTAAGAGTCCCCACCTCAAAGGGTTTTTATGAAGCTTAACTGAGTTTAAAACAAAAATTAAGTGCTTTTCTGCCTGATACACGAAGTTAACCACATCTTCTTTTAAAAATATTTATTCACTTATTTATTCTGAGATGGGTTTTCACTCTGTCACCCAGGCTGAAGTGCAGTGGCACGATCACGACTCACTGCAGCCTCCTAGGCTCCAGTGATCCTCCCAACTCAGCCTCCCAAGTAGCTGGGACTACAGGCACGTGCCATCATGCTCAGTTAATTCTTTGCATTTTGTGTAAAGATGGGGTTTTGCCCTGTTGCTCAGGCTGGTCTTGAACTCCTGGGCTAAAGTAATCCTCCCGCCTTGGGCTCCCAAAGTGCTGTGATTACAGGCGTGACCCACTGTGCCCAGTCCATGTCTTCTTTTCAGTGGCTGCATCTTATTCCACCGTATGGATATGGACAGCTGTTGGTTTTGTCTGTGTAAGACCTATACACTTCCCCTGCTCTCTGTTTTTCTGTTCACAGTTTGTCACGTTATTTTATTTTTTTATTTTTTATTTTTTTAAAAAATTCTGAGACAGGGTCTCACTTGGTCACGCAGGTTGGAGTGTAGTGGCATGATCATAGCTCATTGCAGCCTCAATCTCCTGGGTTCAGGTGATACTCCTACCTCAGCCTCCTGAGTAGCTGAAACCACAGGTGTGTGCCACTACACCCGGAAAGGTTATTTTTTTATTTTGTAGAGACAGGTCTCCCTATGTATTCCAGACTGGTCTCAAACTCCTGGGCTCAAGTGATCCTCCCAGGATGGCCTCCCAGAGTGGTGGAATTACAGGTGTGCGCCCTTGGGCCTGGCCATGATGGTCATTTTGATGTGGCAACTTCACTGGGTCATGGGGTGCCCAGACATTTGGCCAAACCCTTTTCTGGGTGTGTCTATGAGGTGTTCTGGGTGAGATGAACATTTGGGTTTGTAGACTGAGTAAGGCAGATTATTCTCCTTAATGTGGATGGGTCCCATTCAATCAACTCAAGATGTAAACAGAACAAAAAGCTAAGTACCCAGAAGCTCCTCCTCCCTGACTGCCTGAGCTAGGACATTGGTCTTTTCCTGCCTTTGGACTTGAACTGAAATAAAAGCTCTTCTTGGGTTTCAAGCCTGCTGGCATTTGGACTGGAACTTACACCACTGGCTCTCGTAGGTCTCCAGATTGCAAACTGAAGATCTCAGGACTGCCTAGCTTCCATCCAATTCCTTACAATAAATCTCTCTCTCCACCCACACATGCGCATGCATGCGCGCGCGCGCGCACACACACACACACACACACACACACACACACACCCACCCACCCACTCACCCCTGCTGGTTGTTTCTCTGAAGATTCCTAACACGTAGTTCCAGGATTTTCCTCTGGGATTGCCTCTCCCCAATTCTCAGTCCATGCAGTTCAGATCTGTTTCTGCCAGGGCTGCTAGGCTTTGGGGATTTAAGCCTAATTTGTTGGTGGCAATTTTGTCACCATGAGGAACAAGTCTGCCTGACAACGAGCAGTGCAGAAGCAAGAGGAGAGCAGAGATGGGAGAGCTGGCTTCCCAATGACAGGGCTTGAGCTCCTGGATCCTGCCATGTCCGACAGTGCAGTCCTGGATTTCTTCATTCCATGGAATAATAAATTGCACACACTCCCTTTTGGTTTTTTGGCTTACTTTTTTTTTTTTTTAAGACGGAGTTTTGATCTTGTTACCCAGGCTGGAGTGCAATGGCATGATCTCAGCTCACTGCAACCTCCGCCTCCTGGGTTCAGGCAATTCTCCTGCCTCAGCCTCCTGAGTAGCTGGGATTACAGGCACGTGCCACCATGCCCAGCTAATTTTTTGTATTTTTAGTAGAGATGGGGTTTCACCATGTTGACCAGGATGGTCTCGATCTCTTGACCTCGTGATCCACCCGCCTCGGCCTCCCAAAGTGCTGGGATTACAGGCGTGAGCCACCGCACCCGGCCATGTTTTTTTTTTTTTTTGAGACAGAGTCTCGCTCTGTCGCCAGATGCCAGGGTGGAGTGCAGTGGCACAATCTCGGCGCATTGCAACCTCTGCCTCCTGCGTTCAAGCAATTCTCCTGCCTCAGCCTCCCAAGTAGCTGGGATTACAGGCACACGCCACCACGCCCAGCTATATTTTTTTATTTTTAGTAGAGACGGGGTTTCACCATGTTGGCCAAGATGGTCTCAATCTCTTGACCTCGTGATCCAACCGCCTCGGCCTCCCAAAGTGCTGGGATTACAGGCTTGAGCCACTGCGCCCGGCCTGGCTTAAGGTATGTTAAGATGGGTTATCTGCAACTATAAAGAGTAATTAGAAGTTTAAATACTTTAAAGTACTATTTAACCAGTATCCTACTTAAGGTGTTTCCCATTTTACTATTACAACCAACATTGCCAGAAACATCTTGTACATATATCTTAGAACAATCCTATGAATATATAGATAGGACACCTTCCTAAGACAGAAACTGGTGGACCAAAAAACAGGTGCATTTTGGCCAAGTGCCATGGTTCTTGCCTGTAATCCTAGAGCTTTGGGAGGCTGAGGTGGGTGGATCACCTGAGGTCGGGAATTCGACACCAGCCTGACCAACATGGAGAAACCCCGTCTCTACTAAAAATACAAAATTAGCTGGGTGTGGTAGTGCAGTCCTGTAATCCCAGCTACTTGAGAGGCTGAGGCAGGAGAATCGCTTGAACACAGGAGGCGGAGGTTGCGGTGAGCCGAGCTCATGCACGCTACTGTGCTCCAGCCTGGATGACAACAGTGAAACTGTGTCTCAAAACAAAAACAAAAACAAACAAAGGTGCATTTAAAATTTTGACTGTTATTGCCAATCACCTTCCAAAAACTGTTTCCCTATTCATGCTTCCAGCAGTGTATGAAGAATTCCTACTTCCTTAAATCCTTATCAACAGGTATTATTATTGTTATTAATTCTGTCCATCTAAAGGGTGAAAAATAGCATCTTCTTTTAAGTTACATTTCTATGATTATTAAGGAGGCTGAGTATCTTTTCGTATATTTAGCTAAGCCTGTGGATTTCTTTTTTTATGAATTGCTTATCCTTTGCCCATTTTCCTACTCAGTTGCTTATCTTTTATTTATTTGAAGGAACTCTTTATATATGATGCACAGCAATCTTTTGTTTGTAATAAGCACTGTAAAATAGAGATTTGGAGACAGATGGGAACCTGAGCCCAGAGACCTTCCAGAATGGGTAGGAACTGCTCTTACCTGACTCTGGTCCTCTGGATCCACAAAAATATTTTCAGCTGTCACATTTCCATGAACATACTCATTCTCATGGAGGAACTCCAGGGCATCGAGCTGCAGGAAGAAGCAAGCCAGCATCTGCATGAGCAGTACGACTAACTAACAGAGAGGCTCTGGTGCAGACTGGGTCAGGGAACCCCACTGTTAAGGACTGGGGTAGTCTGGCACTGTGACTGGGGTTAAACCTGACTAAATCCTGGGCAGCCTGAGGAGCCTGCTGTGATAGCACACTGAGCACGCCTCTAATCAGGTTCTCAGAGAGCTCACCAGTCGAGCTAACTCGAGGCTTCCCATCTACTCCTGTACCTCTTAGCTGATGGCAAACTCAGGAGAGGGAGAAGGGGTTAATGATCCTCTGCAAAAATGACTCAGCACCTGTGAATATCAAAGAGCTCTTCTCACCTGTCCTAGAGAACAGGAAAAAAATTTGTTAACATTTATAAATTTGTAATGATCTCCAGCTGTCCCATGGAGTTTTGGGTGGTGTGTGTGTATGTATGTATGTATGTGTGTGTGTGGTTTTTTGTTTTGTTTTGTTTTTTTGAGACAGGGTCTCACTCCTTGTTGCCCAGGCTGGAGTGCAGTGGTGTAATCACTGCTCAATGTAGCCCCGATTTCCCAAGCTCAGTTGATCCTCCCACCTCAGCCTCCCGAGTAGCTGCGACTACAAGTATGCACCACCAGACCTGGCTAATTCTTTGTATTTTTGGTAGAGAGGGGGTTTGCCACGTTGCCCAGGCTAGTCTTGAACTCCTGAACTCAAGTGATCCACCTGCCTCATCCTCCCAAAGTGCTGGGATTACTGTGTGAGCAGCCGTGTCTGACCAACTCTTCAACTGTGCCTGCTGCCCGAGTGTCAGCTACATTCTGATCATATCCCCAACCCTCTTCGACCCCTGGGTTCAACTGTCCACCAAATTCTGCTTGTTTTCCTTCTACAGACTCTCCACCCCCATGGCCTGGGACCCCCCTCAGCCTCGTCCTCTCCCACATGGACCCTCGCTCATATTCTGCTCCCCATTCCAGCCCCTCCCCATATGGCCCCTGAGGGCCTTTCTGTACCCAGAGCTGACTCTGCCCTCCCCTAATCCCAGCCCTCTGTGGCTCTCCAGTGCCCTCAAGACAGATCCCGGCCCCTCAGCCTGGTGTGTGAGGCCCTGCGTGATGTGGTCACTGCTGACCTCTTTGCACCAACTCCATCTGTCCCCACTGCAGTGCCATACTGCAGATGCTGAACCTGAAGACCTTGGGGGCTCAGCATGTTGCTCCCTCGGTACTTCCATCCCTCCAACGTAAACTGGACTCTTATTCTCCATCACAGCAGACACCGCTTCCATTCAGAAAACTTGTCATTGTTTGTGCAACTGTTTGATTTACTAGTGGCCTCTCCCACTAGACTATAAGCTCCAACACGCAGAAACCATGCTGCTCTGTGATCTGCAACCAGCCCTGGGGACAGTGTCTGGCACCCAGTAAATGCTTGATGAATATTTAATGAGGATGAATGAATGAATGAGTAAAGGAACAAATGCCGTATGCTCTCTTCCTCTCAAGTCTTACCACAGCTATATCCTTGGCCGGACCATCCTCTCCTCATCTATCCCCGCCTCCTCCACCCAGCACCTTGCTGTTTCCACTCATCCTGAGAGTCATGACTTAGAAACACCCTCTACCAGGAAGCCCAATCTAAGCCTTCGGTTTGAGGCTGGGGTTCCCCCCTCCAACACTCATGGCCCCCCAAGGGCACTCCACAGGACCAACCACCCATCATCCTGGCTCTAACTGCCTGCCATGCCCGTCAGTGAGCCGGCCCCCAGTGTGCAGTGGAAGGAGGTGGGGGCTGGATGTGTCAATGACCAAACAGCCTGCCAAACTAAGGTCTCATGCACCCTCCCCAATGCAGGAGCTGAGCAACTTGTGGGTACGCACCAGCCGGTAGGCCACCTGCAGCACAGACCTCTCTGACAGCACATGCTTTGGGCTGATGTCCAGGGCCGACTGAAGGCTCCTTCCCAGGCTGGGTAACACCAAGAACCTGGAAGACACAAGCACCCCAGGAGGTGGGAGATGAGCTGGGGAGAGAGGAGTACAGACTGCCATGGATGGACTGCGGCGGAGCTGCAAGGTCCTGGTCCCGGCTGAGATGAAAGGTTCCGACTGGCTGGGCAGCAAACTGGCTCAAAACTATGAGAAGGCAGGAAGCAAAGAACTGGCCCATGGCTTTGGGGACCCAACCATGCCTGGACACATGACAGGAAGAGGAGGAAAGGGGCTGGCGAGGCAAGCAGTGAGTGGAGCAGCTCACCTGTATTTGTCCTGGTGAACACCAAAACCCACGCAGGTGGGGATGGCCAGCAGCGGGGTCGAGTACAGCTTCTTCCACTTGTTGACTGCAGAAAACAGGGGCTGGAGGTTAGAACCCACCCGGTCCCAAGCCCATGGCAACAACAGCCTGTTCTCAGAGCAGAAGCACAGAGTGTCCAGACTGCCTCTGAGTCTCTTTGTTGGAGGTGACAACACTGTGGGTGGGTGACAGTGGGAAGAAGATGGTGATGGGGCCGGCATGGGTGACCCATGAATGTCTGTGATCCCAGTCTGCAGGTGATGGGGAAAACATGGTGGCTCTGGAGGAAGCAAATACAAATCCAGAGTGCAGGGAAAGGATAATGACGTCACTTCCGAATTCACACACAGAGCTAACGAGATCAATACGTGCCTAACCCAGCCATGACGTCGCCAGAATGTGCCTCGGCCTGTCTTCCAGATCTCAGTGGAGTGGACGAGAACCAACGGCAAGCTGACACGAGTTTAACAGCTGGCTGTCCAGGGAAGGCAGTCTGATTGGTAGCATCTGCTCAATTCTTTTTTTTTTTTGAGACTGAGTTTTGCTCTGTCACCTTGGCTGGAGTGCAATGGCATAGTATCAGCTCACTGCAACCTCTGCCTCTTGGGTTTAAATGATTCTCCTGCCTCAGCCTCCCGAGCAGCTGGGATTACAGGCGTGTACCACCATGCCTGGCTAATTTTTTTGGTATTTTTAGTACAGATGGGGTTTTGCCATGTTGGCCAGGCTGGTCCGGAACACCTAACCTCAGGTGATCAACCGCCTCAGCCTCCCGCAGTGCGGGGATTATAGATATGAGCCACCGCGGCCACCCACATTTGCTAAGTTCTGCAGTGTAAATACTCCTGCTATGGCCAACTCCAAGCTACCAACGTGACATGATGTTGTCATGGAGGTGGGTGGGGGAGATGCACAGGGGAGGCCGTCATGCAATGTTCTCACCCGCAGAGACAACCGCGCACACAGCCTCGCTGGCAGAGGTAACAGGACACGCAGGGAAATAATCAGAAAGCGATGGGTTTCTGAGGGGTCATTACCTTTGTTTTTGAATATAATTTATTTGTAAGATTATGTACTTTAATTTCTTTTTCTTTTTTTTTTTTTTTGAGACTGAGTCTCCATTGCCCAGGCTGGAGTGCAGTGGCATGAACTTGGCTCCCTGCAACCTCTGCCTTTCAGCGATTCTCCTGCCTCAGCCTCCCACGTAGCTGAGGCACATGACAGGCACAAGACATCATGCCTAATTTTTGTGTTTTTATTAGAGATGGGGTTTCACCATGTTGGCCAGGATACTTTCAAACTTCCGACATCAGGTGATCCACCTGCCTTAGCCTCCCAAAGTGCTGGGATTACAGGCATGAGCCACTGCACCTGGCCTGTATAATTTCTAATACTGGCTGTAACAACCAGCTTGCCATCTTCCTGAAAATTATATATATATATATATATATATATATATATATTTTTTTTTTTTTTTTTTTTTTGAGACAGGGTCTGGCTCTGTTGCCCAGGCTGGAGTTCAGGTGGCACAATCACAGCTCACTGCAACCTCCCCCTTCCGGGCTCAAGCAATCCTCCCACCTCAGCCTCTCGAGTAGCTGGGATCACAGGCGCGTGCCACTATACCTGGCTAATTTTTGTTATTTTCAGTAGAGATGGGGTTTTGTCATGTTGCTTAGGCTGGTGTCAAACTCCTGGGCTCAAGTGATCCGCCTGCCTTAGCCTCCCAAAGTGCTGGGATTATAGGCCACTAGGCCCAGACTAAATATTTAATACTTGGCTCGCAAGAGCTGGTGTGAGCCAGCTACAACACACACTGAAGCCTGAGGGGTGACAAGAGTCAGGTTATGAGCACAGATGGGAGCAAACCTGGCCCTTTAATCTGAACCCACCCTTCTCACACCTACAGGTAGAAGCCAGGTGCTGTGACCAAGCTGACACCCCCCACTCTCCCCTCCTTTACCAGTTCCATCAGGTACCTTGCAGAGGCTTGGCAGCCCGCTGGAAGAAGTTCTGCTCATTGAACAAGCGCCCATCCTTGGCATCCTGGTGGGGGACAGGAGGGGCAGAAGGCTGTCACACTGAACTCTCAGACAAGGGCCCCCAATCCCCACTGGCCATTTATTACTCCAGGGTAATACCCTTGATGACCAGGTTCCTCACCAAGTCCCCACATCTGAGCCAAATTCCTCAGGTGCTGCACACAAACACACATCAAAGAAAAACACGCAGCAGTGAGCTACCTCCCAGTACCCAGGTTCCTCTTCTTTCTTTTATGGTAAGAGCCATAGTGTTCCCTAGATCTTGGCCTTCAGCTTAAAAACCATGTTTCCCAGCCTCCTTTGCAGTGAGGAATGAGCACATGACCAAGTTCTGGCCAGTGGGGATGTGAGCAGAAGAAATGTGGGCAACATCCAGGTTACGCCCTTAAAAGGCTGGGACAGACTCTTCCCTTCCTCTTCTGTTCCAGTTGACTGTAACACAGATATGATGGTGGGAGCTGAAGCGGCCACTTCAGCCCAAGAGACGGAGGTTATGCATTGAAAATGTTGGTGCAAAAAGTAAAAGGAAACTGGGCCCCTTGGTTATGAAACCATCATATCAGCCCTGGAAAACTGCCCCCCGCAACTTTTAAGTGAAAAAGCAATAAAGTATCATCTTAAGCCATTATTAATATTGGGCATTTGTTAAAAATAACACCAAATAGCCAGGTATGGTGGCTCATGCCTGTAATCCCTTAGGCAGGCGGATTGCTTAAGGTCAGGAGATCTAGACTAGTCTGGCCAACATGGCAAAACCCCATCTCTACTAAAAATACAATAATTAGCCAGGCGTTGTGGTGCACGGCTGTAATCCCAGCTACTTGGGAGGCTGAGGCAGGAGAATCACTTGAACCTGGGAGGCAGAGGTTGCAGTGAGCTGAGGTTGCACCTCCAGCCTGGGTGACAGAGCACGACTTTGTCTCGAAAAAAAAACACTCAAGTATTTTAATTAAATACAACCAGTGCAGCTGGATTCTTGAGTTCAGAGTCAAACTGATCTTGGTTCAAATTCCAGCTCTGCTATTCACTAATTCATTCTTCCTACAAAGCCTCCATTATATGCTATTATTCTGGGCATTGGGGATATAGCGGTGAACAAAGCAACATGAATGCTGGCTGCACCCGGGCAAGTGACTGAGTCTCCGTTTCCTCATCTGTTCAATGGGAACATCATAGCCATCCCATAGGCTTGTTGAGAGATTTCAATAACATAGTAAACACACACACAGAGACACACATCCAACCACCCACCCACCAAAAGGCTTGGTGCAGTGGCTCATGCCTGTAATCCCAGCACTTTGGGAGGCGAAGGTGGGAGGATTGCTTGAGCCCAGGAGTTCCAGACCAAGCTGGGCAACATAGGAAGACACCATCTCAAAAAAAAAAAAAAAAAAGAAAAGAAAAATTAGCTGGGTATGAAGGTGCATGCCTGTGGTCCCAGCTACTTGGGAGGCTGAAGTGGAAGGATCACTTGAACCCAGCAGGGTAAGGCTGCAGTGAGCCTTGACTGCACTACTGCACTCCAGCCTGAGGGAGAGAGAGAGACCCTGTCTCAGAACAAACAAAAACCCAAAAGAACTAACTGACATAATGCTTGTGACACTCGGCCCAGGGACCGTCACACAGCAGGTTCTCAGGAAGCAGGAGGTGCTCCCGGTCAGTAGTGGGCCTGGCTCTCTGGCCAGCTCCTCCTCCTGTCCTTCCTTTTCCCTTTCTGCCTCCTGGAGTCCTCCCCACGAGGCCGGCAAATCTTGTGGTATGGACTGGGTAAACGTGAGCAACGTGGGCACAGCCTTGTAGGCCCTGAGCAATCTCACGTGGTGTATTCATGCCTGCCTCACTCCCCCAAGGGGACAGCTCCTTCAGGGCAGGAATTGGGTCTGACCCATCTCTGATGTCCCCAGCACTCAGTTCACAGGAAGCTGCTGGAAAGGCTTGGTGAATGAATGAATGAATAAATGAATGGATGAACATCACTGGGCATTCAGCCCGACCTTTTGAATACTTCAGAACAGAGCTGCCTTCCCAGTGGATGGGAAGAGTGAATGTCCTCTGGTCGGCCCCGTACTCTGTGCTCCCTCCCAGCAGGTACCACTTTCTGATGGGACTGGGGCACGGCACCCCCCCAGACTGGGAGCTTCTCTCGGGCTGTGCCTGGGACCAACTCATCATCACCCAGTTTTGAGTCACAGGAAATGCTGATGAGGTCAGATGGACAGAGAGCAAGGCTGTATCTCTAGGATGATAAGCATAATCACAGTAATAACAATAGGCGCAATGGCTCACGCCTATAATCCCAGCACTTTGGGAGGCTGGGCGGGTGTATCGCCTGAGGTTAGGAGTTCAAGACTAGCCTGCCCAACATGATGAAACAACGTCTCTAATAAAAATACAAAAATTAGACAAGTGTGGTGGCAGGTGCCTGTAATCCCAGCTACTTGGGAGGCTGAGGCACGAGAATCACCTGAACCCGGGTGACAGAGGTTGTAGTTAGCTGAGATCATGCCATTGGTACTCCAGCCTGGGCAACAACTGTGAAACTCTGTCTCAAAAAAAAAAAAAAAAAAAAAGAAAAAAGAAAAAGAAAAAGAAAAAACGACAGGAACAGCTCAGGTTGATGGGGTATGTACTGTGCCAGGCATACCTGAACCACACAAGAAGCGTTAAAGGGGACATGGCAGCTGCCCTGCTGAGAGGACTCAATGAAGCAGTGCTTGTGAAACTCTTAGCCGGCCCGGTTCAGGCAACGCCAGGCTCCCAAAGCAGGTGCTCCCCATCATTAGTGAGCTGGGCTCCACAGCCCATGCTGGGACCCACTCTCATGGCCTCCATCTAGGGTGGAAGGAGGGCAGCTAACCCAGCTGTCCCCGGTTTTCTGGGGCGTGACAATTCAAATGAAAAGAGGAAAATAAAAGTCGCCTGTAATCCCAGCACCCAGGGATGATGGCAGGGCTACGAACCAGGACGATGCCCTTCTGTTGGGCGCCTCCTCTGTGCGGAAGGCGTGACTCCCCTCGTGACCACTCTCCCTTTCTGTGCTTGTTTCCTTTTGGCCGTCCCCAAGTGCACACATCCTGTCCGCTGAACCTCGTGCTTGGCACCCGATGTGTGTGACTTCACTGAATCCTCAGCGCAGGGACCCCACACCCAGCACGGTGATACACAGCAGGTGCTCAGTATGTGCACGCTACAAGGCCGGTGGTAGGCGGCAGACGAGGAAGCTGAGCTCTGAGGGGAATGGGCTTGCCCAGGTCACAGAGCTGGGGAGTCTCAGCCAGACTCAGGCGGATCCAAAGTCGGGTTTCCAACACCCTGGGGTGACGGAGCACTGAGGACCTCCTCTGCCCACGGTCTCAGTGCTCCTTGCAAGTGGGGACCCTGGCCCCTGGCCGATCTCTCCCAGATGAGAAAGGGGCTCAGAAGTCAAGGATGTGTTTGTGAAAGTCCCTCCCCTCTGAGCTGCCCCCTACCTGCAGGGTCACTTACCAGCTTGAGCGAGAACTTTTGCTCCTGGGGTCTTGAGTCACAGCTGAGGGCAGAGGTGGGTGCAGCTGTGGGGGAACAAACACGTTAGCAAGGTTATAACCACAGGGAAGGTCAGGGTCATTGTCCCCAAACTTCCCAGCAATGAAAAGCAGCTCTAGTGCCCTAGTTTCAACAAGGTCAAGTGCACATGGGACAGAGGACAACAAGAGGAGAGAGGCCAAGAAACGCCACGACCTGCTGCTTCCTATTTTCAAACGAGCTTCTCCCTCGTTTTTCTGTCACTATCCAGCCGTGCAGGAAAGGGCTAATACAGCAGGCCTGAGACTGCTCTCCTGGCAGAGTCTGGGAACCTGGATTCCAGGAGGGCTCCCAGAATCCCCTGACTGATGAGTGGGGTTTGCTGAGCCTAAACTGTTCGTGCAATCACTGTGCTTTCTGTGCAACCCCTGCTTTCCTCTGGGGAACCTGGGATGTGGACACATGTCAGACAGAGAGGGCCACATGACCGCTCCCCAAAAACAGCCCTGGGCCCTGAGTGTCTGAGGAGCTTCCTGGTGGACAGTTCCCATGTCCTGTCGCAGCCTATGGCTCAGAGAAATAGCTGCATCTTAGGCAGAGTGACCTCATCCAAGGCCACATCCCAGGGTGACCCAGGTCCGATGACTGATTAAAGTGGACATAAAGGCCTGGCCGGGGCCAGGCGCGGTGGCTCACGCCTGTAATCCCAGCACTTTGGGAGGCCGAGGCAGGTGGATCATGAGGTCAAGAGATCGAGACCACCCTGGTCAACATGGTGAAACCCTGTCTCTACTAAAAATACAAAAAATCAGCTGGGCATGGTGGCGCGTGACTGCAATCCCAGCTACTCAGGAGGCTGAGGCAGGAGAATTGCCTGAACCCAGGAGGTGGAGGCCACAGTGAGCCGAGATCGCGCCACTGCACTCCAGCCTGGGTAACAAGAGTGAAACTCCGTCTCAAAAAAAAAAAAAGGCCCGGGCGCCTGGCCCAACGTGGACCCACACTGAAAGATCACTTTTGTTCCAGAGCCCTGCAGGGTCGGCTGAGGCCAACACTGGGCTGCATCCCAGCCCCACCTCCCTGTCTGCCCTACCTGCTTTCTTACCCGCTCCCTGGGTTCTGATCCCTGAGGCATCTCCCCATAAGCACCCTGCAGGCTCATCCCCCAACGGAGCCGCTCCAGGAGCCCTTGCTGTTCATTTACAGACGTACCCCATCTCCAGGGCTGTGCTAAGTGTGGGCTTCACATGCTCTGTCCCATCTGACAGATGAGAATAGGACAGAGGCCAGGAAATGCCAGGCTGACCAGGGTTCAAATACCAGCTCCTCCCTCCGCTCTGTGACTTTGGGCCTCCATCTGCATGTCTGTAAGACGGGAGTGATAAGGCCCATCCTGAGACTGGCTGCAAGAACGCAACAGGGGGGCAAGAGTGAGAACAGCAGCAGCCAAGTGTGCAGCAGGAGTCTGCGTCCCCCTTCACGTCCGCTGCTGAGGTAACCCACTCAGCCCGGACCCCAGCCTGGAGCCTGGCACGTGAGGACTGCTCCACAGGCAGCAGCCTTAAAATATCCCCATAACACCAGGGCCCCGCAGCCAGGGAGTGGCAGAGCTGGCTCCACCTGGGTCTAGCTAATCCCAAAGCCCATGAGCTGAGCCATCGCCGTCCGCGCACCCTGACTCATGCTGGTGTCCCTCCTTCCTCTGCTCTCATGGTGCCCATCCTCCCTTCATCATCAAGGCTGGTATCGTCTAAGATGCTAAGGGATTAGGGAGGTGACAAAGTCACCCAGAAGCCGTCCTTGCCCTAAAGAAGCTCCAGCTGGAGCAGGGCTGGGAGCTGGCTCTACACGTTCAAGGCCAAGGGTGCTCTAAGCCCAGTGGGAGAGGGATCTGTTCCCGCTGTGGGGAAAGCTTTCGGGGGATCATGCTGGAGTGGGCTGTGACATCATGACCAAGCATCCGCCCCACTCTGGGACCCAGGAATAGAAACAACACCTGTCTCTCAGAGGTTCCATGAAGTCAGTGACAACGCGTACATACTTGGCACGTGGAGGCAGGCAGAAAAAGCTGACGATTTGATATAATTTTCCTGCACCGCTTTGCAGATGATAAAAAGCTTTTCTCTTTCACTTTTCTAACTGGCCCTGCTGCCGACAGTCCGGAAAGCTAGGTGGGGAATTTGCATTGTAGAGGGAACCACGGGAGGCCAGACAGGAAACAGGGGGTTGGCCAAGGGCCCCCGCAGAGACGGGCCACAAGCCCAGGTCTCTAGACTCTGTGATCTAGGGTGGCTGATCCAGGCTGCTGCTTGAAGGAAACCTAACACCTGGAAAATCTCTACGTGTGCCAAATGGAGACCAAGGTGTGGGAGGCAGGCAGGTGAGGGCCTCCCCTTGCCAAAGGTCAGTGATACTGAACTTGGAGCAGGAACCCTGTTCTGGGGCCCATCCTAACCGTAACGACAGGCAGCATGTACACAACGCTGGCTGTTTTCCCGGCAACACGCTACTCATTTCATTCTCCTGACCGCAGCCCTGTGAGGTCAGTAGCATTACCATCTCCCCTCTGCAGATGAGGAAACTGAGGCACAGGGTCATGATGTCATTTGAAAGGTCAAGCGACAGGTGGCCAGCAGAGGCAGCCCGGCCCACCACCGAGCTCCAGGGTGCCCTGGCCCTGCTGGGGATGCTGAGTGACTTCTCCCCTCCGGCCTCCAGAAGGAACCAGCATTGTCAACACCTACACTTTCTACCTAGTGATTTTGGACTTCTGGTCTCCAGAACTGCAGGAAAATGAGCATGTGCTGCGTTAAACCACTCACTGCAGTCACCTGTTACAGCGGCCGCAGGAAACCAACACAAGCCCCCGCTTCCAGCCACGAAGGCGGGGGCTGCGGAGGGCAGCGGGGGCTGCGGAGGGCAGCGGGGGCTGCGGAGGGCAGCGGGGGCTGCGGAGGGCAGCGGGGGCCTGAGCCTGAGTTGCTGCACCACAGTGAGCAGCCACAGGGATTCACGTGACTCATGATGGACGGTGGCTCTCCCACAGAGCTCCAGGGAGGCCCGGGAGTACGACACGGTAACTCAGTACGGGACAGACAGAAAAGAGCTGATAAAGTGCTTAAGAGCATGGTGCAGAGAGTGGGATAGAAGGGTCCGCTGCTCGAGTAACCCTAACGATTCAGCTTGTTCTTGTTGTTTTACTGTTACTGCTTTCAACTATGGGACATACAACGTACACCATCTCTTCCTGACTGGTGCAAACTGGTGGAAGGAAAAGGTGATTTGCCCTGGGGCGATGCCACCCGACGGTGGTACATCCCCAAATGCAAGCTCCACATCAGCAGGGCCTCTGCCAGCCCCGTGGTAGGTGCTGCTTACGGATGCACCGAGCAGCCGGGCGCGGTGGCTCACACCTGTAAGCCCAGCACTTTCTGGGAGCCCGAGGCAGGAGGATGGCTTGAGACCGGCCTGGCCAACACAGTGAGACCGTGTCTCAAAAATAAGTAAGTAAATAAATAAATAAATAAATAAATAAATAAATAAAGGGATCTGCTGAAGGAATGGATGGCTCAGGCAGGCTGGGCACTGGGGTTTGCTATTTTTATCAAACAACCTGAGTCATAAAAGGCAAAACCAAAACTATGCTGGCCCAGAGCAGCCCCTTCCTGTACTTCCACTGTGGGTTTCTGGGGAGCTCAAGCGTGGTTTCTCCTCCCAGGAGCTCACGGCTCCGCGTGTTCTCCTCTCCTTCTCCCCTGCCCTCACCGCAATCTCTTTCTCACTGTGGGTTTTCACTCCTCTCCCTGTCTCCTGCCTCTGTGCTCCTCAGCCTCTCATTGCTTCTCACCCTGATTCCTCTTTCTCCTCACCCTCTCCTTCTCCTTTCTCTCCCTTTCTTGGGAGAAGCCAGAGTGCCTGGGTTCAAATCCCATCTCTACCACTTCTAGGCTGCGTGCCCTTGGCCAGGTAGCTTCCCCTCTCTGTGCCCCAGTGGTAGGACGGGGTAATACGGGTGCCTCTCTCATGGCGTGGCTGGCAGTATTACGTGGGTAAGACAGAGTTCCCCAAGTGTCTGGCATGGGATCCTGCCTGTAATCCCAGCCCTTTAAGAGGCTGAGGTGGGAGGATTGCTTGAGCCTAGCAGTTTGAGACCAGCCTGGGCAACACAGCAAGACCGTTTCTAAAAAAAAAAAAAAGAAAGTTTAAAAATTAACCTGGGATGGTGGCGCGTGCATGTAGTCCAAGCTACTCGGGAGGCTGAGATGGGAGAATCACTTGAGCCTGGAAGCCTGAGGCTGCAGTGGGCTGTGACTGCACAAATGCACTCAAGCCCGGGTGACGGGACAAGACCCAATCTCGTACCGGCACAGGCGAGTGCTCCCCAGGTGCCAGCCACGGCCCTCCTTCTCTTGCTCCTGCCTGGTCTTGGTCTCGCTCTCTCCCCTCTCCCTCACCTTTCCTGGCCCTGCCTATCTGCCTCTCCATTATTAACTCTGCCTACCTCTGCCTGGGAAGGTCTGAATACAGTTTTCCAAGCTCTCAGCCTCCATCTCCTGTCATCATTTGAGCCAACAGCCCCAGCAGACAGGAGACGAGGCGTCCTCTCACTTTTCCAGTGGGGGACATCAAGATACAGCGTGCCTGAGCTGTTTGCTGGGGCTCCCTCAGCGTGTCGGAGCCAAGTCAGGCTCAGCTTCGGAGCTGTCTGAAACACTGGCTGTCCCACCTACCTGCCCAGACTCCAAGAGAAGGATGGCCAGCAGGAGGCTCAAAATTGCCCACAGGCTTGTCTGGCCAGTGGGCACTTCTAAATCAAAGATTTCCTATCGAAATCTAGGTTGCAAGCTCTTCCTTGAAAACTTGGAAGACTCAGAGCCCAGAGCCTAGCTAATTATTCACACCTCTGGGATCCATGTTTCTCACGTATAAAACGGGGATAGCGGGAGTACCGACATCCTAGGGCTGTGGTGAGAATTTAGCAAACCTCTGTCCATCAAATAACCTGTAAGAAAATACTGATGGCAGCATTACCCAGCACAGCCCAAAGTGGAAATAACCCAAACACCTGACAACCACTAAGCAGGTAAGCCACACGGGGTATTCCCATACAGAGAAATATCCTGCGGACGTCAAAGGAGTGTGGCAGTGACCCGTCACAGCACAGATGCATCTGGGGCACACACTGCTGAGTGAGGGATGCCAGACACAGGGGGCTACACAGTGTAGGATTCCACCTTTGTGAACTTGCCCCAGAAAGGGCAAATGCATGAGGCAGAAAGGAGGTTAGTGGCTGCCAGTGGATTGGAGGACAGAGGAATGGGAGTGATGGCTGAAAGGTACTGGGTTTCTTTTCAGGTGGTAGAAAGGCCCTGGAATTAGACAGCGATGACGGTTGCATAATATTGTGAATACTGTGAAAACCACTCAGTTGCACCCTTTAAAAGAATTTTTGGGCCGGGCGCGGTGGCTCATGCCTGTAATCCCAGCACTTCGGGAGGCCGAGGCGGGTGGATCACGAGGTCAAGAGATCGAGACCATCCTGGTCAACATGGTCAAACTCCGTCTCTGCTAAAAATACAAAAAATTAGTTAGGCACGGTGGTGCATGCCTGTAATCCCAGCTACTTGGGAGGCTGAGGCAAGAGAATTGCTTGAACCCAGGAGGCAGAGGTTGCGGTGAGCCGAGACTGCACCATTCCACTCCAGCCTGGGTGACAGGAGTGAAACTCCGTCTCAAAAAAAAAAAAAAAATAATAATAATAATTTTATGGTGGCTCACGCCTATAATCCCAGCACTTTGGGAGGACGAGGCAGGTGGATCACTTGAGGTCAGCAGTTCAAGACCAGCCTGGCCAACGTGATAAAACCCCACCTCTACTAAAAATACAAAAACAAACAAAACTTAGCTGAGTACGGTGGCATATGCCTATAATCTCAGCTACTTAGGAGGCTAAGCAAGAGAATTGCTTGAACCCAGGAGGCAGAGGTTGCAATGAGCTGAGATTGCACCAGTGCACTCCAGCTGAGAGTGCACTCCACCAGTGCACTAGTGCACTCCAGTCTTGCTCTGGGTGACAGAGCAAGACTCCCTCTCAAAATAATAATAAAAAAAATAACTTTAATGTAAGTTTTATCTCAATTAAAAAGCTCCAAAAATAAGAGAAAAGAAAAACCCATGTAAAGTGTCAGAACAGGGCTGGCCTTGCATAAGCACTCAATATTTAGTACAATGAATACTAACACTACTGCCATAGCTACTTTCCTCATTGTGACAGACTCTGAGCTTTTCAGCCTCATGCCTCCCTCCTCCCCTTCCATCCCACCCTGGACGAGCGGATGAGCAAGGCTCGGTGCTTCCTTCTGTGGTGTCTGCATCCAGGAGACTCAAACCACGCATGGCATTGGCCCGTGTACAGGAACCCTCACCCCAGTCCCACCCCCAACCACAATGGAAACACCTGGCCCGTCTCCTTTCCTCATTCTCAGGGCATTTCAGATCTGCGGTGGGGGGGCGGGGGAGCCTGCCCTGCTCTCCACAGAGCCCCCTGTTACGTAAGCAATAAACGTCTCATATCCGCTTGGTGTGTGTGTGACATCGTCAGGCTCAATGTTTGAACTAAATTTTAGGTAGGGGGGTCCATCCTCTCTGCATGCTGGCCACAACAATTGTCCTTAACATGCAGCCCCTGGGCCTGCGTCCCCCACATGACAATAGCAGGCAGGGCGAGGAGGGGCACACTTCACACGGGGCACATGCTCTCCGACCGGCGGAAGTCCGCACCACTCCCCACTGCCTTACCCCAGCCTGCTGCACTTCTTCCCACTATTGCCTGGCCCTGCAGGTGGGTAGGTGTAGAGTCCTAGGTCTAAGAGAAAGTTGCCTAGTGGCAGGTCCGCAGCAAGGGATGTGGCTTCCATTCCCATTCTCAGACAGTCCCCCTCCCCCTGTCCAAGTGCTGAGATGACCCAGCCCCTGTCTGTCCATGGACAGTGTACCTTCATAGAGAATTCCCTGGTCGTCCCTGGTCTGGAGGGACATCAGCTTCCACTGTCGCCCACTCTTGTCTGTCAGCACTGTCCCTGTGGGCAAAGCCTCAAGTGAGGTGGTCACCCGGCTCCGCTTCAGTGTCTGAGGGCTCCGCTTCAGTGTCTGAGGGCTCTGCCTGGTCTTCTGAGGGCTGCATTTGGCCACCTGAGGGCTCTTCCTGGTCTTCTGAGGGCTCTTCCTGGTCTTCTGAGGGCTGCTTTTGGGGGTTGGGGGTCTGCTCCCTAAGCCTGCAGGAGATGGTAAGAATAAAGCTAAAGCACCAACCAGAAGAGAAAAGTTAGATGAGAGTGAAATAGCACACAAAATACTATTCTTTTATGAATTCGTTCATTCAGCAAACACTTCCTGGGACCTTCTACGGGTCAGGCTTTGTGTGATGATGTTGGGGCCCCAGACAGGAGTCAGACCTGCATCCTTCTCTCAGGAGTGCCCAGTTTGGTGGGGAAGTCTGTTCTAGACACAGCCAGTCAGATTTGGGTCTGAGACAGGGCAGTACAGACAGATATTAGGGACCAAAAGAGAAAGAGATCCTGACTGGAGAAGTCAGGATAGGCTTCTCAGAGGAAGGGTTGTTGGATGAGTAGAAGTTTACCTGGGAAAAAAGGATATTCTAGATGTTTACCCAAAAACATCCTGCAAAAGGACTCAGTCCTGATACAGAAAAGGGCTGAGAAATTTGTTAGACCGAAGCCCCGCCCTGGAACGGCTCCTAGACTGGCAAGAGAATGAGGCAGGTGTGGTGGGAGACAGCCTTGGACATGGGAAAAGACATCACTTACCATTCCTCCCACCTACCATCCCCTAAAGGCATGTAATGGTAGGAGGCCTCTGGGACCCAGAGGATATGGAGGAGCAAAGGGGACACCTCATACTGCAACTGTGGCTGTGGCTTCAGATCCAGGGGCCCAGGAAATACACACCTGAGTTGTACTTGGTCCCTGTCGGCAAAGGGCCCCCAGTCCAGAAAGTGAGGCTGGAAGGGATGTGGAGCCAAGAGTGACGTGCACTCCACTGAGGGTAGCAGCAGGCCCGGGGGGCACCAGACAGAGAGGCTTCCTAGAGACCAGACTGGCTGAGTGGCAGTACGCCAGGCCAAGAAGGAAGGGGAGGGTGCCCTGGGCTGAGGGACCAGGCTTAGCGAAGACCGAGGTTAATCCCCAAAAGTGAGTTTTCTGGGCAAAGACTGTGTTGAGGGCTAAAGCAGGAACCAGGCCACACAGATGCCAGGCTGAAGAGCTTGGCCTGTGGGTGCTAGGAACAGCAGGGGGCTGTGTGCAGGGAGGGGCAGGGGCAGCTCTGGGTGCCAGAAGACCCATGTGGGGCCATGTAGAAGCAGACTGGACGGGGAGATGAGAGGCTGGGGGAGATGCTGGAGTGAGTTAGAGTCATGCAGGGCTGGGTGACGTCTGAGCCAGGGCTAGGGCAGTTTTGTCCCAAACATCGTCAGATGATCTAACTTGGTCCCACTTAGAGTCAGGCCAGATTGACCTTAACTCTTACCTTTGGATCTCTCAGAGGAACTCGGGGTATCTTCAGAATCAGAACTGTCACCATCTGAGAAGAGAGGTGGAGAGGTGACAGAGCTGGACCATTTCACCTTCTTGGGAGAGATTTCAAAACTGGAGTTCAGCTCTCTCTTTGAGCCTGAAGAAAGGCAGACAAAATGCAGGCTGGAGTTACAAAGGCCCTTTGCAGGCACCATAGGACCTGGAGCCCTTAGGCTATATTCAGCTATGCTCTTCTCTTTGGCCCGCAAGACCAATTCTTGCTTCTTCTATCATGTGAATATCTAAGCAAACTGTTCCTTTTATTCTCTCCTTCCTAGGTCTTAGTCTCCCTTGTATCTTCCAGCATTTTGTCTCTCTGTGTCTTCTTTCACAAATTTTCTTTATATGTATGCATTTTTGAGATGGAGTCTCACTCTGTTGCCCAGGCTGGAGTGCAGTGGTGTGATCTGGGCTCACTGCAACCTCTGCCTCTTGGGTTCAAGCAATTGTCCTGCCTCAGTTTCCTAAGCAGCTGGATTACAGTCGTGCATCAACACACCCAGGTAATTTTTGTATTTTTAGTAGAGACATGCTTCCCTATGTTGGTCAGACTGGTCTTGAACTCCTGACCCCCAAGTGATCTGCCCACCTCATCCTCTCAAAGTGCTGGGATTCCAGGCATGAGTCACCTTGCCTGGCTTCTTCCTCGTAATTTCTTTTTTTCTTTCTTTTTTTTTTTTGAGACGGAGTTTCGCTCTTGTTACCCAGGCTGGAGTGCAATGGCGCGATCTCGGCTCACCGCAACCTCCGCCTCCTGGGCTCAGGCAATTCTCCTGTCTCAGCCTTCTGAGTAGCTGGGATTACAGGCACTCACCACCACGCCCAGCTAATTTTTTGTATTTTTAGTAGAGACGGGGTTTCACCATGTTGACCAGGATGGTCTCGATCTCTTGGCCTCGTGATCCACCCACCTCGGCCTCCCAAAGTGCTGGGATTACAGGCTTGAGCCACCGCGCCCGGCCAATTTCTTAAAATCTATCTTCCAGTTAACTAATTCTCCCTTTAGCTATGTCTTGCCGGCTGTTTAAACCACCCATTTAGTTTCTGATTACAATGACTATATATCACACACACATACATATAAACATACAGTAATTGTGTATACACACACACAATCATTAGAGGTTTTACTTCGTTCCTTCTCTTATCTGCCTATGCCACTTTAACTTACTCCTTCATTGTACTTTCAATATGTTATTTTCTTTTTCTTTTCTTTTTTTTTTTAAGATGGAGTCTCACTTTGTTGCCAGGCTGAAGTGCAGTGGTGCGATATTGGCTCACTGCAACCCCCACTTCCCAGGTTCAAGCAATTCTCAGCCTCCTGAGTAGCTGGGACCACAGGCGTGGGCCACCATGCCCAACTAATTTTTGTATTTTTAGTAGAGATGGGGTTTCACCATGTTGGCCAGGACAGTCTCGATCTCTTGACCTCGTGATCCACCCGCCTCGGCCTCCCAAAGTGCTGGGACTACAGGCGTGAGCAACCATGCCTGGCCTACTTTCTTTCTTTAAATGTATCAAGCATGCTTTGTAAATATTCTCATCTATTAATTCTAAGGTCTGTGGTCTTGGCAGGTCTGATTCTGTAATTTGTTGTTTCTGCTGACTCTCAGGCTAGCTTATTTCCTGGCATCCCTGTAAATCAATGAAGACTGGTACTCACGTTCCTTGGACGTTCCCTGAGGTTTGTCTTTAAAGAATGTTTTCCAAGAGAAGACTTGTTTATATCAGGGAGGGAGGGATACCCACATCTCACCACTTTTAAGTTAAATGTTCAGCTTGCATTTTGGGGGACCACACAGATCAGTGTGAATTCTGGCCCCAAACTGATGAGAATGTGAATTCTTGGTTAGAAATTCTCAAAGAAGGCCGGGCGTGGTGGCTCACGCCTATAATCCCAGCACTTTGGGAGGCCGAGGCAGGTGGATCACCTGAGGTCAGGAGTTTGAGACCAGGCTGGCCAACATGGTGAAATCCTGTCTCTACCAAAAAAATATAAAAATTAGCCAGATGTGGTTGTGGATGCCTGTAATCCCAGCTACTTGGAAGTTGAGGCAGGAGAACTGCCTGAACTCAGGAGGTGGAGCTTGCAGTGAGCCAAGATCACACCACTGCACTCTAGCCTGGGTGACGGAGAGAGACTACGTCTCAAAAAAAAAAAAAAAAAGGAATTCTCAAAGAAGACATTTCTCCTTTTTTTTTTTAACCCACCACCAAAGGCTGACAAATGTCTCCACCAGGCCGGGTGCGGTGGCTCAAGCCTGTAATCCCAGCACTTTGGGAGGCCGAGGCGGGTGGATCACGAGGTCGAGAGATCGAGACCATCGTGGTCAACATGGTGAAACCCCGTCTCTACTAAAAATACAAAAAAAAACTAGCTGGGCGTGGTGGCGCATGCCTGTAATCCCAGCTACTCAGGAGGCTGAGGCAGGAGAATTGCCTGAGCCCAGGAGGCGGAGGTTGCGGTGAGCTGAGATCGCGCCATTGCACTCCAGTCTGGGTAACAAGAGTGAAACTCCGTCTAAAAAAAAAAAAAAAAAAAAGTCTCCACCAATTTTCTCTGTGGAACAATTACTTTCACTGCAGTTCACCCACTGAGGAGCCCCAGATTTAAGAGGAGGTTTCCAATTGCAACTCCTGCACTGCTAAGGCCCTAAGATTTGTCTCCCATACCCCAATAGAAAAACCCAGGCACCAGGTCTACAGTAAACAGCCCCAGCACCAAGTAACACCAATGTGGCACTGTGGTCTCTGTTTTCCTACTGTTTCTCACCTCCATGGATTCCCCTTAGTTTCCTGCCGCTTAGCTCTATGTTTTAAAAAGACATTTTTATGTTTGATTCAACATATTTGGGCACACTGAACTACAAGGAGTTTTTATTATCATCTGGTCTGCCATATTGCTAAAAACAAATGTCCTTTCTTTTTAGTTGACACTGAGTAACTCAGCCAGCACGGCTGGTCCCAGGACATCCAACACAGGTTGAGTATCCCAAATCCAGAAATCTGAAACGCAAAATGCTCCAAAATCTAAAACTTTCTGAGTGTCAACAGGATGCTCAAAGGAAATTTCATTGGGCTACTGTGGATTCCAGATTTTTTTTCTTTTTTTTACATCGAGTCTTGCTCTGTTGCCCAGGCTGGAGCGCAGTGGCACGATCTAGGCTCACTGCAACCTCTGCCTCCTGGGTTCAAGCGATTCTACTGTCTCAGCCTCCCAAGTAGCTGGGATGACAGGCGTTCACCACTATAGCCAGCTAATTTTTTATATTTTTAGTACAGATGGGGTTTCAGCTTGTTGGCCAGGCTGGTCTCGAACTCCTGACCTCAAGTGATCTGCCTGCCTCAGCCTCCCAAAGTGCTGGGATTATAGGCATGAGCCACCGTGCCTGGCCAGATTTCAGATTTTTAAATCAGGGATGATCAACCAGTAAGTATAATTCGAATATTCCAAAATCTGAAACACTTCTGGTCCTGATCATTTTGGATAAGGGATACTTAACCTGCAGATGCCAAATAGGCAGGCTGCACATACACATCTCCTCCAAGCAGGGAAGGAGTCCAGGCTGGCAGGAGATAGAAATGAAGGGGCTGTCAACACAGAGACGGTGTTCAAAGCCATGAGGACAGTAAGAGGCCAAGAGACTGAGGGTAGACAGAGTGGTCCAGTCCTGAGGCCTGAGCTTCTCCAGTATCCGGAGAGGGTCAGGCAGGCTGCAAAGGCGTCCTCCGTCCCGAGACACACATGTGCTTGCACCTCATCCCATCTGCAGGAATAGGCTCAAAGCTCTGGTTCTTACCTCGGAAGGATGACACATGTGGCTTGACAAACGTCTGGGACACTACATGCTCCTCTATAGGCAAAGAATGTCCACAGTAGGGGCAGAATTTGAATGCTGCTTGGATATTTTTGCCACATTCTGGACAGAAGGAGATCATGCTACGAAACAGAATGAACAAACACAAAGTGAAGCAGGATGGCTGGAGGTCAGTGGAAGCCACTGTGGAGAACTGCTCTCCATCACAGGGTGAGTGTGCAGGTGGCACAGTCAGGGTCTTCAACTGTGTGTGTGATGTTCACTTCTTAAAACATATGATGGGAATGGGAGAGAGAGTCAGTGTTCCCCAAATATCCATATGCTGCCCTGTACTTCCCAGGTTCCCCTGTGGTGAGGCAGGGGCCACAAGACTAATTCTAGCCAATGGGGTATGAGTAGAGTCATCTCATGGCTGAGACAGTTAGGAGTCAGAGTACCTCCTCTGCCTCCCCGTCCACCTGCAGATATGGCCTGGAGGCCATGGCTCCCAACTGACATAGCAGTGAGATGAAGGAGGGCTGCCTGGTCCACACTGGAACCTCATGATCAACAAATACAATTCTGCTGTACTGAGCTGCCAAACTTTTAGGGTTTATTTGTCACAGCAGCACAGCCTATTCTATCCTGACTAATTTAGTAGAACGACGAGTGTTCACTACATTACTCTTGATGCTTTGCATCTATTTCCTGATACTTTGTAAAAGTCCAAATTACATGCTGAACCTATGACAAAGGAGGATATGGAAGAATTCAGCCAGTGAAGAAGAGAAAATCAGCCGGGCTTGGTGGCTCAAGCCTGTAATCCCAGCACTTTGGGAGGCCGAGGCGGGTGGATCACGAGGTCCAGAGATCGAGACCATCCTGGTCAACATGGTGAAACCCCGTCTCTACTAAAAATACAAAAAATTAGCTGGGCATGGTGGCGCGTGCCTGTAATCCCAGCTACTCAGGAGGCTGAGGCAGAAGAATTGCCTGAACCCAGGAGGCGGAGGTTGCGGTGAGCCGAGATTGCGCCATTGCACTCCAGCCTGGGTAACAAGAGTGAAACTCCATCAAAAAAAAAAAAAAAAAAAGAAAAAAAAAGAAGAGAAAATCAACAAGGATGGAGTACAACAGGCAGTTTGTATTGCCCTTCATTATGGCAGTGCTATTTGTAATAAGCATCTTACAAACAGCAGCAACGCACTGGGCTCAGCGGCTCACACCTGTAATCCCAGCACTTTGGGAGGTCAAGGAGAGCAGATCACCCGAGGTCAGGAGTTCGAGACCAGTCGGTCTGACATGGTAAAACCCTGTCTATACTAAAAATACAAAAAAATTAGCCAGGTGTAGTGGTGCACGCCTGTAATCCCAGCCTACTCAGGAGGCTGAGGCAGGAAAGTCACTTGAACTCAGGAGGTGGAGGTTGTAGTGAGCCAAGATCGTGTCACTGCACTCCAGCCTGGATAAAAAGAGTGAAAATTCTGTCTTAAACAAACAAACAAAACAAATAGCAGCAGCAACAAAAAAAAAGGCCCATTTCTTTGTTCTTATAGTCTAAGGCTTAGTGTACATTAGCAATTAAAAGTGAAACTATCAGTTGGGCATGACTGTAATCCCTTTGGATTACATGCCAGCACTTTGGGAGGCTGAGGTGGGCAGATCACCTGAGGTCAGGAGTTTGAGACCAGCCTGACCAACATGAAGAAACCCTCTCTCTACAAAAATACAAAATTAGCCAGGTGTGGTGGCAGGAGCCTGTAATCCCAGCTACTCAGGAGGCTGAGGCAGGAGAATTGCTTCAACCTGGGAGGCGGAGGTTGCGGTGAGCTGAGGTTGTGACACTGAACTCCAGCCTGGGCAACAAGAGCGAAACTCTGCCTCAAAAAAAAAAAAAAAAAAAAAAAAAAAAAAAGAAAAGTGAAACTATCGAAATAGAAGTTAATATAAATATGTGCTTGTGATTTAATTTCACCTTGAAAGAGAAAATTCTTTAATTTTTTTAGAGATAATTTTAAATAAATTAAAATTTCTTTACTTTTTCTGGCACCAGGTAGGAGTGCAGCGGCATGGTCACGGCTCAGGCAACCTTCCCACGTAGCTGGGTCTACAGGTTTGTGCCACCACGCTTGACTAATTTTATTTTTTATTTTTTTTGTAGAGATGGGGGTCTCACTATGTTGCCCAAGCTAGTCTGGAACTCCTGGCCTCCAGCAATCCTCCTGCCTCAGCCTCCCAAAAGTGCTGGGATTATAGGCATGAGGTACCATCCTGGCTGCAAGAGGCCATTCTGAAGGAACTCTTTTCCTTTATTTAGTGTAAAGGCTGGCTTCTGTTGCAAATGGAAACACTGGAGTTCGTTAAGATCACAGGTTTGGCTCCAGGCTGCCAGATGTGAATCCCACATCTGCCACATGCTGGACAAACTACTTAACTTCTCTGTGCCACAGTCCACCCCGCTACAAAATGGGGCTTCTCCCAGCACCTATCTGACAGAATGACCATTGAGGTCTAAATGAATACGTTTATGTGAGGTGCTGAGAACAGGGATGGGCGCACAGAAAGCCTTTTATGTCAGTGGTTGCTGTGACCATATCATGCCCTGTACCCCAGTTACTATATTCCAGTCATTGATAGTTCTGTTCTTCCCTTTCTTCTTCGATAGGGAGTTCTAAGCTTCTCAGCTTATTTCTTCTAGGTACTGACTTCTGAAATTCTAGAGCTTGTGCTTTAAAACCACAGGCCACCCCATCAGCTAGTGAAGAAATCTCAGCCACGTGAGGAGAGACAGGGTCCTGGATTCCTCCTCAGGCTGTAGAAGAGCAGAAATACTCTGTGGCATAAATCTGCACTTCTGTTTTTTCAAACAAAGGAGTTGTGTAAGACATCTGGACTGCAAAGGCTGTCAGTCAACTACCTTTTGCCCTCTAGAAAGTCAGTTGTTCTGATTGGTTGTGTAACTTAGTGATACGCTGTCCTGGTAATAGTATGTAAAAGAGCATCTCTGTCTTCTCAAAGGTACAAATACTGGTGAGCATTTTTGTCAAGCTAGAGGTCTCACTGCCTCTTCTTCCTTTCTCCCAGGCAAACCTGGGTGTTGACACTCGTGTCACAAGATCAAAACTGCCTAAATGTGCCCAATAAATATATGCACCTACTATGTATCTATGCAGATTAAAAATTAAAAATTTATTTTTTGAGACAGAGTCTCCTTCTGTCGCCCAGGCTGGAGTGCAATGGCATGATCTCGGCTCACTGCAACCTCTGCCTCCCGGGTTCAAGCTATTCTCTTGCCTCAGTCTCCAGAATAGCTGGGATTATAGGTGTGAGCCACTAGGCTTAGCAAATTAAATTTTTTTTTTTTTTTTTTTTTTGCCAGGCGTGGTGGCTCAAGCCTGTAATCCCAGCACTTTGGGAGGCCAAGGCGGGTGGATCACGAGGTCAAGAGATCGAGACCGTCCTGGTCAACATGGTGAAACCCCGTCTCTACTAAAAATACAAAAAATTAGCTGGGCATGGTGGCGCGTGCCTGTAATCCCAGCTACTCAGGAGGCTGAGGCAGGAGAATTGCCTGAACCCAGGAGGCGGAGGTTGCGGTGAGCCGAGATCGCGCCATTGCACTCCAGCCTGGGAAACAAGAGTGAAACTCTGTCTCAAAAAAAAAAAAAAAAAAAAAAAATTTTTTTAACTGCCTAGAGGCTGGTGCCTGGAGAGCCGGATTAGAAAGAATGTGTGATTGCGTTAAACCACTAAGATTTGGAAGTTGCTTGTTACTGAAACGTGGCCTAGACAGACTTTGCTGTACTTCTTTTTTATTTTTTGGCAACAGGGTCCCACTCAGTCATTCAGGCTGGAGTGCAATAGCGCAATCATGGCACACTGCAGCCTCCACCTCTTGGGCTCAGACCACCCTCTCACCTCAGCCTCCCAAGTAGCTGGGACTACCGGCATGTACCACCATAGCTTTTTTTTTTTTTAACTTTTTGTAGAGATAGGGGTCTCAGTATGTTGCCCAGGCTGGTCTCGAACTCCCGAGCTCAGGCAATATTCCTGCCTTGGCCTCCCAAAGTACTGGGATTACAGGTGTGGACCACCATGCCTGGTTTAGATTTTTCTTTTTTTTTTTTTTTTTGAGACGGAGTTTCGCTCTTGCTACCCAGGCTGGAGTACAATGGCGCCATCTCGGCTCACCGCAACCTCCGCCTCCTGGGTTCAGGCAATTCTCCTGCCTCAGCCTCCTGAGTAGCTGGGATTAAAGGCATGCGCCACCATGCCCAGCTAATTTTTTGTATTTTTAGTAGAGACGAGGTTTCACCATGTTGACCAGGATGGTTTGGATCTCTTGACCTCGTGACCACCCGCCTCGGTCTCCCAAAGTGCTAGGATTACAGGCTTGAACCACCGCGCCCAGCTGGTTTAGATTTCTTAAGTGAACAAAAGATTTGTTTAGAAATCTGCGGTTTTATTTATTTATTTTGAGACAGAGTTTTGCTCTGTCACCCAGCCTGGAGAGGAGTGGCACGATTTTGGCTCACTGCAACATCCGCCGCCTAGGTTCGAGGGATTTTCCTGCCTCAGGGTCCTGGGTAGCTGGGACTACAGGTACACGCTACCACACCCAGCTATTTTTTTTTTTTTGAGACGGAGTTTTGCTCTTGTTGCCCAGGCTGGAGTGCAGTGGCGCGATCTTAGCACCCTGCAACCTCCGCCTCCTAGGCTGAAGCGATTCTCTTAGGACTACAGGTGTGCACCACCACACCTAGCTCATTTTTATATTTTAGTAGAGATGGGGTTTCACCATGTTGGCCAAGCTGGTTTCGAACTCCTGACATCAAATGATCTACCTGCCTTCGCCTCTCAAACTACTGAATTACAGGTGTGAGCCTGGCAGAAATCTGTGCCGGTTTTAAATGGATTCATGTTAAGTGGAATTTCCCTAGATGCTGGCTGCCCTTGGATAAAGATGCCTCCAGGATGCAGCAAGTGCCTAAACAGGTGAGCTCTGCTGTATCCATGACAACGTTCCTTCTGGGAGTGCAGCTGGCCAGCAGCAACCCAGGGAGACAAGCAGGAGCCAGCTGCTGGTGGGAAAAAGGTAAAAGGCCCTGAGAGGCTGTGCCCAAGGGATAATACCTTTAGGAGGTCACGGCCTGGCCCTTGGATTTACTGGGCTGGAAACTCCATCTTGACAGCAACCTGTAAGTGAACAAAAGTAGAGAGGCTGATTGATGCTTTCACAGAGCAACGAAAGAAAACAGCTAATGTTTACTGAGCACTGGCCACGTCGCCAGCATGTGCCAAATCCATTTGTTCATTCATTCACTCAATCACCTATTCTATAATTATTTACTGAGTTTCCTGTTTATGCCAGCCACTGGGGAAACAGCAGCAAAGGAAACAACACAGCCCCTGCCCTCAGAAAGCTTGTGTTCTGGTGGGAGAAGAGAAGCTAACAAACAAATGAGCAAGGAACTGCTGAACAGGTCGGATGGAGACAGTGCTATGGAGGACAATAAAGTACCATAGGAGAAAACAGGATGCCACAGAGGGCGGCGGGTCAACATTCACACAGGGTGGTTAAGGAGGGCCTTGCCCAGAGGAAGACATCTGAACAGAGACCCAAAGGAAACCAGGGAGTGAGTCTTCAATATATGGAAAGGAGTCCCCCAGGCAGAGAGCTTTTTATGCATTATCCCATTTAGTCTATACTACAGTCCAGGAGGCAGGTTCCAGAATTATCACCACTTCATTGGAGAGTGTGACATTTGTATTTTTGAAATCGGACCACGCCAGTATTTCTGGTCCTGTGAGCTTTTTCGAACCCTATCCCCTGTCCTCCCAGGAGTCAGGGTATCTGTTTGACCTCCTGCGGATCTGGGCAGAGCTGTGACTGCTTCTACTGATAGAGGACGGGCAGAAGTAAGGCCACAAGACTTCCAAGGCTGGGTCATAAAAAACAACTTGCACCTGGCTGGCTTGCTCAGGATGCTCACCCATGGAGCCCAGTTTCCATGCCATGAGGCAGCCTCAAGTAGCCCAGGCAGAGAAGTCACATGGAGAGGCTCAGGAAGAGACGTACTGAGGCCCGTGGCCAACAGCTAGCGTCAGCTGCTGGATATGTCAGTGGGCAAGTCCTCAGGCCACATAGACTCCAGGCTTCATCTTCCTGCTAAGCCACAGGCATCAGGGAGCAGAAACAGGCCACCCCGCTGTGCTCACTCTGAATTCCTGGCACGTAGGATCCATGGGCACAACAAATGGTGGCTCTCCATCACTGAATTGGGGGATAATTTGTCCTCTGGACTTAGTAACCAGAACAGGGGGCAGGCAGTCCTGTCTACACAGAGGTTAAGTCACTTACTTAATGACAGCTCTCATTTCGTGACAGTTCAGTATGTGCAGATCACTGTGCTAAGTTCTTGGGAGGTATTATCTACAGAACCTTCAGTCACCCTCTTCAAGGTAAGAATGATTACTGAGAAGCAGAGGCTCAGAGAGAAAATGACTTGCCCAACGCCACACAGCTCTAAAGAGGCGAGGCAGACACATCATTGTTTAATCTTTCCCTCTACTCTGTGAGGTAGGGATGGTCATCCCATGTTTGAAAGCTACAAAAGGATGCACAAATGGGTGAGAATTCTCCTTCCCCTAGACCCGACTCCACTCACCTACAAAACGATGGAAACAGAGCTGAAATCCGGAGCCCTGAGCCCCAAAGTCCACATTCTTTTTCTTTTTTTTGAGATGAAGTTTCACTCTTATTGCCCAGCTGGAGTACAATGGCATGATCTTGGCTCACTGTAACTTCCGCCTCCCAGGTTCAAGCAATTCTCCTGCCTCTGCTTCCCGAGTAGCTGGGATTACAGGTGCACACCACCATGCCCAGCTAATTTTTGTATTTTTTTTAGTAAAGATGGGGTTTCACCATATTGGCCAGGCTGGTCTCGAACTGCTAACCTTGTGATCTACATGCCTCGGCCTCCCAAAGTGCTGGGATTACAGGTATGAGTTACTGCGCTCAGCCACACCCATGTTCTTAACCTGGTGCCAATTTATACAATGAAAATGCACACCTGGACTGTGTTCCTGGGGCAGTAGGTCAGAATATTCTTGCAGATTTGAATCTGGAAGCTGACACTGGGTATGGAATCAGGCCAAGAGGGTTTTTTTTTTTTTTTTTTTTTTTTTGAGACGGAGTTTCGCTCTTGTTACCCAGGCTGGAGTGCAATGGTGTGATCTTGGCTCACTGCAACCTCCGCCTCCTGGGTTCAGGCAATCCTCCTGCCTCAGCCTCCTGAGTAGCTGGGATTACAGGCACACACCACCATGCCCAGCTGATTTTTTGTATTTTTAGTAGAGACGGGGTTTCACCATGTTGACCAGGATGGTCTTGATCCCTTGACCTCGTAATCCACCTGCCTCGGCCTCCCAAAGTGTTGGGATTACAGGCTTTAGCCACCGCGCCCGGCCCGCCAAGAGGGTTTTTAACCATGTGCCAACCCTGGTTCTGACATCCTGCTCCTAGCCTGGTTGAGGTCACCATCTCTCCCTGTGCTACTGCAGCAGCTTCCTAACCAGACTTCTGGCTTCTACACTTGCCCCTACAATCTATTTTCAACCTAGTAGCTAGAGGGATCCATTTAAAGTCTAAATCAGACCCTGGCCCTGTCCTTCCTCTACTCAAAACCATATGGAGGGCTGGGCACAGTGGCTCACGTCTGTAATCCCAGCACTCTGGAAGGCCAAGGCAAGTGGATCACTTGAGGTCAGGAGTTCCAGACCAGCCTGGCCAACATGGTGAAAACCCATCTCAGCTTAAAAAAAAAAAAACACACACACACAAAAGAAACTCAGCCAGCCATGGTGGCGGGCACCTGTAATCCCAGCTACTCAGGAGGCTTCGGCACAAGATTCACTTGAACCAGGGAGACGGAGGTTGCCATGAGCTGAGATCGCACCACTGCACTCCAGCCTGGGTGACAGACCGAGACTCCATCTCAAAAATAAATAAATAAATAAATAAATAAAAAAAAAAAAAAAAAAAAATCTAAGTCAGACTCTGTCCCTGCTTTACTCAAAACCGTATGGTGGATTTCATTTTAGACAGAATCAAAGCCAAAATTCCTACCACGGCCCAGGAGTCTCTACATGAGCTGCCATTTCCCTGTCCCCTTGCTGGCCTCTCCCACCATCTCCCCTTGCTCGCTCTGAGCCAGCCACGCTGGCTTCGGTGCTTTTCCCCAGTCGTGACAAGAACATTTCTTCCCCAAGACCTTTACGCTTGCTCTTCCAACTGCCTGGAATGCCGTCCCCGCAGAGTGCACACAGGTGACTCCCTCATCACCATCTTCAGCTCTCTGTTCAAATGTCACCTTCTCAGAGACCTTCTTGGACATCATTTTACTGTTTTTGCCCAGGCTGGAGTGCAGTAGCACAGTCTCGGCTCACTGCAACCTGCGCTTCCCAGGTTCAAGCGATTCTCCTGCCTCAGCCTCTCATGTAGCTGGAATTACAGGTGCCTGCCACCACACCTGGCTAATTTTGTATTTTTAGTAGAGACGGGGTTTCACCACGTTGGCCGGGATGGTCTTGAACTCCTGACCTCAGGTGATCCGCCCGCCTCAGCCTCCCAAAGCACTGGGATTACAGGTGCGCGCCACTGCGCCTGGCCCTGGACAACATTTTACCAATAGCATGTTTTATCCTCCTTACCCTTGCTTTATTTTTCCTCACAGTACTTGTCACCGCCTGACTTACTCTGACTTACTAGAACGTAAGCTTCACGATGGTGGGGACTTTTGTCTGCCTTGTTTGCCACAGTGTGCCAGAGCCTCAAACAGGCCTGGCACAGAGCAAACGCTGGGTCTATGTTTGCTGAGTGAATATATCATTTTCTTCTTTGCAGAAGGAAACCTGCCAAGAAGGCAGAGGGGCCTCCAGCTGTGTCAGCACACATCCACCCTTTAGGGGAAGTCTAGACGTTGAGCCGGAGACCTCAAGCTCAGGGCCAGAATTATCTAGCTGGACGGTCCTTAAATAGACCTGCCACTTAGAAGCAGATCAGTATAGGGGTTAAGAGGATACATTTGGGACCTAATCTGCCTGGGTTTGGATCTTGCTTCTGCCACATATTGTGTGATGGTGGGCAATAAAATAATTTTTTTTCCTTTGGGACAGAGTCTCGCTGTGTCACTCAGGCTGGAGAGCAGTGGCACAATCTCAGCTCACCTGCAACCTCTGCTTCCTGGGTTCAAGCAACTCTCCTGCCTCAACCTCCCAAATAGCTGGGATTACAGGCGCGTGCCACCATGTCTGGCCAATTTGTGTATTTTTAGTAGAGATCTGGTTTTACCATGTTGGCCAGGCTGGTCTCGAGCTCCTGACCTTGTGACCCACTCACCTTGGCCTCCCAAAGGAGGGATTACAGGCATGAGCCACCATGCCTGGCCAATTTTTTTTTTTTTTTTTTAGAGACAGGGTCTCGCTGTTGCCCAGGATGGAGTGAAGTGACTCCATCTTAGCTCACTGTAATCTCCACCTTCTGGGCTCAAGCAATCCTCCCACCTCAGCCTCCCAAGTAGCCGGGATCAGTCGCAGACCACCTTGCCCAGCTAATTTATTTCCAATTTTTTTTCTTTTTTTTTTTTGAGATGGAGTTTCGCTCTTGTTACCCAGGCTGGAGTGCAATGGCACGATCTCGGCTCACTGCAACCTCCGCCTCCTGGGTTCAGGCAATTCTTCTGCCTCAGCCTCCTGAGTAGCTGGGATTACAGGCACGCGCCCCCATGCCCAGCTAATTTTTTAGATTTTTAGTAGAGACGGGGTTTCACCGTGTTGACCGGGATGGTCTCGATCTCTCGACCTCGTGATCCACCCGCCTCGGCCTCCCAAAGTGCTGGGATTACAGGCTTGAGCCACCGCGCCTGGCCTATTTCCAATTTTTAAAAAACACGTCTTTGCCTGTTCCTCCATTTGTAAACTGAGAACAGCAGCAGTTACCTCTTGAATTTTGAAGTGTAAGGTACCTGACATATATTGTACATCTGATTAACACTGGCTTCACAACTGATTTGGTTCCATTGATTTCCAGCCAGTGAATTCCTCCCCGAGAACTTTCACACATGCAGCAGTTCCCCTGGCCACGAATGTGCTTCCCACCACTTTCCCCTGTGGGTGATTCTTTCATTCAGGTCTCTGCCTAGGAGTTCTTCCCTGACCACCTCACATAAACTGCATTCCCTAGCCCCACTTTTCTCTCTCCCTTCCCCTTTCCTCCTTAATATTTCTCCTTAGCACTTAACACATCTAACATATATTCACAATTCCTTATTCTAATCACCTGGTGCCAGTTGTGTTTCAAAGTTCAGAATTTTGAAGGTTTTGTAACATTTTTATTTTATTTACTGAGTTTGAGATGGAGTCCCGCTGTCACCCAGGCAGGAGTACAGTGGTACGCTCTCAGCTCACTGCAATCTCTGCCTCCTGGGTTCAAGCGATTCTCATGGCTCAGCCTCCCGAGTAGCTGGGATTACAGGCGTGTGCCCATGCCCAGCTAATATTTTTGTATTTTTTGTAAAAGTGGGGCTTCATTACGTTGGCCAGGCTGGTCTTGAACTCCTCAACCCAGGTGATCCTCCTGCCTCGGTCTCCTTAAGGGTGGGGATTACAGGCGGGAGCTACCCCACCAAGCCAGACTTGTCGGATTTTAGAACCTATTACATATTACAACACTGGTGGGATCCAGGGCAACTCTCCATAAGTAAGTATGTGATTTATGCAACAGTATCTTTAAAAATTCTAAATAGTCACACATCAGTTCGGAGTGGGTATTGCCAGAAAACAAGTTCAAAGCCAGGTGAGGCTGGGCTACCAGGTAAGTTGCCAAACAGAAGAAGACTTTTCAGTTTTTACAATGTTTTGGATTTTAAAGTTATAGATAAGGGATTGCAGACCTGCAAATATTCTTTAACACTCCTTTATCAGTGTCTGGCATCCCCAGCCACCATGAGAATGTGAATTAGCTAGGGCAGGATTTTTGTTTTAGACACTACTATAACATGGGCTTGAACGGTGCCTATTAGACTAGGCATTCCAACTAGCAATATCGGTTGCACGGAGCCTTCCGTGTAGAACATGCTCAATAAAAGTAGATGCAAAAAAGACAGGAGTCTCAGAGTGCTCAAGTCACCTACGCAATGGCCAGTTCATCACTTGAAACCCAAGGTTCCAACCCTCAGGCCAGTCTTCACCCATCCATTTATTTGACTTATTCAACAAATGTTTACTGAACAGCTGCTATGTGTCAACTACAGCATAATGTTCCTTCTACACTTCGGGAGACAGCACAGCAAAAAGGCTAAAGGTCAGACCCCACCCCAGCGCAGGTGGGACGGTTGCCCAGGCGACACAGCCTCCCTTCGGTCGCACCCCCCATAGAAACCGAAAGACGAGGAGCTGCCCAGGCGAAGTAGAAGTCAAACTTCCCCAAAGTCCCACCCATCTCCGCGGTAGCCAGGCCCAACACGAAGCCCGCTCAAGAGCAGGCCAGTGAGCCCCCCGACCCGGAACGGCCCTCATCCCGAACCTAGATCGCGACCGCGGGGGACCCCGCCTCCCACAAAGGTTCGGGCTGACGTCACAGGCACCCCGGCCGAGCTGCGGCTAGGAGGTCGGGGGACGTCCCGCCGCTCCGCCTCCCCTTCCCCTCACCTCTGTACTTGGGGACGGGAGCGGGATTCTAGGCTTCCGCGGCCTGACCCTCGGATCCCCGGCAGTTACCAGGACTCACCTTCTCAGTTGCCCAGCGAAAACTTCCGCTGGGCGGAGAGCGCTGCGCGCGCATCCTGAGTCTAATGCGCCCGCGCAGGCGCCGCCGACTTCCCGACGGCGCCCGGCTTCACCTACCTAGGAACTCCATTTCCCAGATGCCTTCGCGGCAGGCCCGCCCTCTGATTCCACAGGGCGAGGTAATTATTCCCTCATTGCTCAGCCCCCTCACGCGACTCCGTTCTAGCCGCTTTGGAACGCTTTCTGGTTCTACTGCGCATGTGTCCATGTAAAACCAATCGGAATGCACCGTGAGCCCTTCTCAACTCCGCCCCTCCCACGCGTTTTCTCAGAAATCCCTTCTCAACGCGTTTCCAAGGCAACCCACTGCTTGCTCTTTAAAAGAAGGGAAAACTCCCAGTCTTCTAGGAAAGGCAAGAGCCTAATTAAATGATTCTTTAACAAGGTAAAAAACTGGACTACAATCCCAGGCCGCTTGGTTCTGATTCTGTTTGTACTCTACTCCCAGATTGCTAAGCGTGGTCTCTAAGGCTGAAGAAGCGGGAGGAGATGGGAAGGCGAACGAAGTCGGCCGCGCAGCCCTCTGGGAAATAGAGTCCTGGCGCTGGCGCGGAGGATCCTGGGTGGAGCCTCTCAAAGAAACTATACGCGCACCGGAAGTCGATGCGAGGAGGCGCGTGTGAGGGAAGTTGAGTCGTTCGCTCCCTCGAGGCTCAGGTTGCGTCTGTTGATGCGGCCGACGACAATCCCGAGGTACAGAAACGCTGGGGTTGGAGGGCCTTGCTGGCTCGATCCTTTCTGAAAGGTGACGGGATGCTAGTGGGGGCGACTTCGGCAATGGGTGCGTCGCCTGGGTCGGTGGCAGTTGTCTGGGTGGAGGCGTGAACCGCCTTTCGGAGTCCGCTAAAGGGCCGCCGGCGCGGTGGCTCACCCTTGTAACCCCAGCACTCTGGGGGGCCGAGGCGGGCGGATCACTGGAGATCAGGAGTTAAGAGACGATCCTGGCCGGGCGCGGTGGCTCAAGCCTGTAATCCCAGCACTTTGGGAGGCTGAGGCGGGTGGATCACAAGGTCGAGAGATCGAGACCATCCTGGTCAACATGGTGAAACCCCGTCTCTACTAAAAATACAAAAAAATTAGCTGGGCATGGTGGCGCGTGCCTGTAATCCCAGCTACTCAGGAGGCTGAGGCAGGAGAATTGCCTGAACCCAGGAGGCGGAGGTTGTGGTGAGCCGAGATCGCGCCATTGCACTCCAGCCTGGGTAACAAGAGCGAAACTCCGTCTCAAAAAAAAAAAAAAAAAAAAAAAAAAAAAAAAAAAAGAGACGATCCTGGCTCGAACCCCGTCACTCCTAAAAATTGTAACACCAGGTACTGGAGAGGCTCAGGTAGGGGAATCGCTCGAACCCGGGAGGCAGAGGTTGCGGTCAGCCGAGATCGCGCCGCTGCAGTCCAGCCTGGGCAGCAGAGTGAGACTGCGTCTGGAAAGAAAGAAAGGGAGGGGGCGGGGTGGGGGTGGGGAAACTCACTAGGTGGTAAAAAAAAAAAAAATCAGCTGCTTTTTTTTTTTTTTTTTTTTTTTTTTTGAGATGGAGTCTTGCTCTGTCGCCCAGGCTGGAGTGATCTCGGCTCACTGCAACCTCTGCCTCTCGGGTTCAAGCGATTCTCCTGCCTCAGCCTCCCGAGTAGCTGGGATTGCAGGCAGGTGCCACCAAGCCCGGCTAATTTTTATGTTATTAGTACAGACGGGGTTTCAGCATGTTGGCCAACCTGGTCTGGGACTCCTGAACTCAAGTAATCCGCCCACCCCGGCCTCCCAAAGTGCTGGGATTACAGGTGTGAGCCGCTGTGCCTGGCCTATAATATATTGTCGTTGTTACTGTGGGTCATGGTTAAAAGAAAAGTTTAGATATTTCTGTTGTACAGATAGTGGCCAGGTTCGGTGGCTCACGCCTGTAATCCCAACACTTTGGGTGGCCGATGAGGGTGGATTACTTGAGGTCAGGAGTTTGAGAACGGCTTGGGCAACAAGTGAGATCCTGTCCCTACAAAAAGTAAAAAAGATTAGCTGGATGTGGTGGCACATGCTTGTAGTCCCAGCTACTTGACAGGCCAAGGTGGGAGGATTGCTTAAGCCTGGGAGGTTATGGCTGCAGCGAGCCATGATTGTGCCACTGTACTCCAGCCTGGCAACAGGAACAAGACCTTGTCTCAAAAAAAAGTAGCAGTTTTGGAGGCCGATGGATCTGAACTCAAATCCTAGAGATGATCATCAGAAATCCCAGAAGCATTGTTCTGTTGCTTCTGTTAGACACCTTTGTTCTGTCTACAGCTGTAGGTGCGTTTATACCTGCTGTGAAAGCAGGTACTTACTGTACCATGCCGGTGCTAAGACACAGCAGAGAGCAGGACAGAAGCTCCCACTGTGGCCATAGACTCGCATCACCAAATCTCCTGAGTGTGTATTTACTGACTGCGTTAAGTGCTGACAGTGGTGGCGAAGCTGCTTGGTAGGTTCTGAAGCACGGTGGAAACGTGCGGCTGGGGTGGCTTCAGTAAATACAGTTGTCGTTGTGATTCCTGCAGGGAGACTCTCACTGGGACTTGTCCTCCTCCTGGACTTTTTGGGGGCTCGTCAGCCTGGACAGCGAGTCAGCCATGGGCGGAAGGGAGGCTTTCTCACAGCTCCCTTGTGCTTCCCACAGCCTTGCCAGTCGGGAACACGGAGGGGAAGGAGGAGGAGCTTGAGAGAGGCTACTGAATCCCAGTGGGCCATGGCTGAGGTGAGTTGAAGGCCACTCTGTCTTAACTGATTGGCCCCAAAGGCAGGAAAGCTGGCCTGCCTTTTTAGCTGAGGTGAGTTGAAGGCCACTGTCTTCCTCGGTCACCCCCGAAGGCAGGAAAACTGACCCTCCTTTATGGCTAAGGTGAGTTGAAGTCCCTTCTGTGTGAATTGGTCACGCCCCCTGGCAGGAAAGTTGTTAGCCTTCCTTTGTGGCTGAGGTGAGTTGACGGCTCTGTGTTAACTGGTCACCCCCATGGCCTTCCTTTGTTCTGTCCTCCCTGTCCCACGGTGGCTTCCTGGCTTCCGGGTGATCCTTTTAAAGGCAAGCTTGCATGCTGTCCCACGGTGGCTTCCGGGTGATCCTTTTAAAGGCAAGCTTGCGTGCTGTCCCACGGTGGCTTCCGGGTGATCCTTTTAAAGGCAAGCTTGCGTGCTGTCCCACGGTGGCTTCCGGGTGATCCTTTTAAAGGCAAGCTTGCGTGCTGTCCCACGGTGGCTTCCGGGTGATCCTTTTAAAGGCAAGCTTGCGTGCTGTCCCACGGTGGCTTCCGGGTGATCCTTTTAAAGGCAAGCTTGCGTGCTGTCCCACGGTGGCTTCCGGGTGATCCTTTTAAAGGCAAGCTTGCGTGCTGTCCCACGGTGGCTTCCGGGTGATCCTTTTAAAGGCAAGCTTGCGTGCTGTCCCACGGTGGCTTCCGGGTGATCCTTTTAAAGGCAAGCTTGCGTGCTGTCCCACGGTGGCTTCCGGGTGATCCTTTTAAAGGCAAGCTTGCGTGCTGTCCCACGGTGGCTTCCGGGTGATCCTTTTAAAGGCAAGCTTGCGTGCTGTCCCACGGTGGCTTCCGGGTGATCCTTTTAAAGGCAAGCTTGCGTGCTGTCCCACGGTGGCTTCCGGGTGATCTTTTTAAAGGCAAGCTTGCCTGCTGTCCCACGGTGGCTTCCGGGTGATCCTTTTAAAGGCAAGCTTGCGTGCTGTTCTTTTCTGCTTGTACTCTTCTGGGCATCCCTACTGCTTACAGGATGAATTCCAGTTTTTTCAGCCTTCCTTCGTGGTCTGGGTTCTACCTCCCTTTGCACCGTCTTCTGCCATTTCTCTAGGTAACCAGTCCTCCCTTTGGCCTGGTAGTAAAACGTTATTCTGTAGTTTCCAGCAGCTTCCCTGCCTTTGCTCAGGTTGTGCCCTCTGCTGGAATCCCGTGCCCCTTTTCCATCCAGTGATGTCTCACACCGCCTTTAGGACCCTGCTCAGCTCCCCCACCCTTCCCTAGGCAGTCAGCACTTTCCTGCTCTGGCCTTCCATAGCATCCCCTGCTGCCTCCACTGTAGCAGAGATCCACCTAGATACGGATGTTCCTGCCCACTCGTCAGCCCCACCCAGATTTCAAGTTCCGCCAGATGCTCGGGGACAGGAACTGATGGGGATTCATCTCTGGGTCCCTAGGGCCCAGCACAGGCCGGGCACGTAGGAAGCCTCATGAGGTGTTAGTTGAATGAATGAATGATGCATGAAACCATGTCTCTATCTGGTAAACACCTGTTCATCCTCAGTAATCCATCTCGAATGACCTCACCTCCAGGAAGCTTTCCCTGACTTTCCTCCATTCCTGCCACTGTTTCTCACCTGTATTATCAAACTGGCCTTCTTCCTTGACTCCCTGCTTCTGCCCTTCCCACCTTCTGTCTTTTCCCACATAGCAGCAGGAGGAGAATGCTGTTTAGTATGTGCTTAATTTAAAAAATATTTTTATTGCAAAATCACAGATGTAGAAACACACACATCAAATTCGTGACTTAATGAAGGTGAACACCACCTAGATCAAGCGTGAGAATCTTTTCTGCCACTCATCCCAGAAGTCCCTCGTGGGCTCTGTCATAGCCCTCTCACATCTCCAATACCTGATTTTTTTTTTTGACAGTGTCTTGCTCTGTCACCCAGGCTGGAGTGCAGTGGCCGCTATCTCAGCTCACTGCAACCTCCACCTCCTGGGGTCAAGTGATTCTCCTATAATCCCAGCGCTTCGGAAGGCCGAGGCAGGCGATCACAAGGTCAGGAGATCGAGACCATCCTGGTCAACATGGTGAAACCCTGTCTCTACTAAAAATTCCAAAATTAGCCAGGTGTGGTAGTGCGCAACTGTAATCCCAGCTACTCAGAAGGCTGAGGTAGGAGAATTGCGAGCAGACTCCTGAGCTCAAGCAGTCTGCCTGCCCCAGCCTCCCACAGTGTTTGATTTACGGGTGTGAGCCACCATACCCGGCCAATCAAAGCTCCTTGAAATGTAATGTCTCATGTAA